AAACCACTAATCCTTTGGGTATTGGATGTTTTCCTCTGGTCGCGCACTCTACCGTTGAGATCAACATACCAAAAGGTCATTCATCCCACTGCTTTTAGTCTGCTACGGGTCTACTGCTGCTGCTGCTATCTTCCTTTAACCGATCGTTAGACGAGCTTGGGTGCTGTTTAGTTATTAAAGCCTAGTGCTTTTGCTGTAAAGTGTAAATAAAAACGCGTCAATTTGTCGAACAACGAAAAAAAAAAGTGGGAAAAAAAAAAAAAAAAAAAAAAAAAAAAAATCAGGATTTTTTTGCTGGTAATTCCTTTTATTACTCAGTTATTTGGCGTTTTGTATCTCCAATCCTTACCAACTTCCTGTTTTTCCCATTCAGAAAACGTTGAAATAGTGGTGCTAATCCTGCTGTACGCTGTATATCTGGAAATATTGTTGACATTTGCGCTGATTGTTAGGCTGTACGTAATTTATGTACTTAATATAAAGCTTACCTAATTAAATTAGAGATTGTTCCTGATAGCTAGAGCTAGTTTTGAAAAGTCTCGTGTCTGTGATTCTCGTTTCCTGGGTATTCTCTTCTGATCAAGTTGGATACTTACAAAGATTGTGTGTTTGCCGCCTGTCTTAACTAGAGAAACCAAAATTGTTACTCCTTCTTGAAGCTCATCATGACTGGTATTGGTTTCGGTGAGGCTAATCCTCCTAAAACACCTCCTGGGTTTTCTTATACGACGTCAGGATCTTCTGCTAGTTTTACCACTCCTCCCAAGAGGAAATACTCCGTTAGTCATTCTAATAAAAGACAAAAAACTTTACCTAGTACCCCTGAAGCAACTCCAAATAAGACACCAAGATCTATTAGGAAAAAGGCAAAAGATATTATTTTAACTCCTCCTCAGTCGAGTCAAAAACAGCCTTTCCAAACACCTAGACCGGCAATGTTCTCATTTGGTATGTTTCTACCTACTCCTCTGACCGTTGGATCAGGGAGAAAGTTTAAACAAAAACCATCAGAAATATCTGATGAAAAATTACCACAACCGGAATTAAAAGATAGTAAAGAATTAAATGAAGATGGGGATTATTTGGATCATGAATTGATATCAAAACCAAAAAAATCAATCTCGGAAACTTTAAAAGCATTAGCTGGTTCTAATGATACTGAAGTTAAGGAGACCAGATCATGTACACCTCCTCCCTTGGCTGCTGCTTCAAAAAACTTACCAGCTACTCCCCAAAATAATATAATAGACGACAAATTGGTGAATGAATGGCATGCAAAGTCTTTTAATCGTAAAAAAATCTATTCTGATGTTGAAGATGATGATGAAATTGATAGTATTTTACAAAATGGTAAATCAAATCAAATATCAATTCCAAATCCTTTTGTTGATTCTAAATTACCCAATCCATCAAAATTTAATTCTAAAATATTGAACTCTTTATATGATGATGATGAAAAAGAAGAAGAAAAAAATCATAAATTAAGTAATCCTTTTGGTATATCAATAAAACTGAAGGTTGATTTTTCATCTCAAGCAGAATTCATAAATCATAAAACTGGCGAACGAGTCATTAGAGAATTATCTGATAAAGAAAAATCAATAAAACCGAAAAAATTACTATTTGATCTTGATTCTTCTCCTCCTCCATCTAATTCGACCCCTTCAAATGATCAAAGTAATGTCTCAACAACAAATTTACCCGGTACTACCCCAAGACCAAAACCAACTTTTGTTTCTTCCCCTTTCACTTCATCTACATCTACTCCTAAAAATGATACTCCAACTACAAGATTTCAAAATCCTTTTAATTTACCTTCTAATAACTCAACCCCAATACGCTATCCTATCCATGATAAAAAAATGAAAGTTAATAATAATATACAAAACAAAAAAAAAGCAGATGAATTAATTGATAATTCAATTGGTAAAAAATTTATACTAAAAAACCTAAATGATTTTATGGTTGATGGTAAATCAAAAAATAATTTGGGTTTTGAAATTTTTAAAGATGATGATTAATTTATAATTATGTATTCAATATATATTTAATGTTTAAAACGATATTTTTTCAAATTTTCCCAGCCTATTGAATTTGCATTTGGTAACTTAACCATTTCAACCTTATTCAAATATTCTGGATTAGAATATTCCGATGATGCAGCTTCATTATAGAGAGGTTTCTTAATTGATGGAACTAGATCGTAATCTTTTGTATCTTTACCCATTAAATGCAAATTAATATCATCTCTTAATTCAACTGGTAAATGATTAACAATTTCTTGATAAACTGATGGTTGAGTAAAACGATCAGTTAAATCAGGTTTATATAATTCAGTTAATTCTTGAGAAGGAGGTAAAGTTTGATTAAGTTTTGATTGATTTTCATGATGTAAAGCAATCAATTCTTTCTTTTTCAATTCTCTTGATTTGATTCTATTTAATTCAGTCAATTGATTAAAATCAATGTTTTTGAATTGATAATATTTATTCCAAGTATCATCGGAAATATCTCTATAAGTATTAATTAATAAATTAAATTGCAAGTTATTATGTAACATTTCAATATTATGATAATCTTCGGTATACTTTCTTTGTTCATCTAAAATAGTTTCAACATTATCTTTTGTGAAATAATCATGGATTAATCCTTTTATACTATTATTATATCTTTTACTTATTGGTTTTTTAGTTCTTTTCACAATTTTATGATTACCACCTTTGATTTGATTTGGTGAATCAACTAAATGAATTTTATTAATTTTATTAACTAAAGCAGCATCTTTATAGTTACCAGAACCTGGACCTCGATAACTTTTAAAATAATAATATTTTGAATGATGATAACTATCATTATCACTATTGAAAACTAATTGTTGAATATTTCTTGACATTTTAATATTTTCATTGAATAAGAAATTTGATGCTGCTGGTTTTTTATAATTTGAAATTGCCGAAGTTTGACTTGCATTCATATGATTTGTTGTTATATAATAATTTGGAACTTTACAAATATGGTTGATATTAAATTCTTGAAATAATCCTTGCCCCGGTAATATAAATTCTGCTAAATCTGCAGTATTTGGATCGACATTAGTGATATTCTTCTTTGGCTTACCAATTGGTTTACGAGCTCTTCTTTCTCTTTCAGAGAGATCATCTTCCTTTTTCAGATCTAAATCAGATTGATTTTCGTTAATTGGTTCATCTTCACTAAAACCAATTTCTAGAAATTTATTATTTTTGATTAATAATTCTCGTTCACTATTTGATAATGAAGTTCCGTAAACTCTACGGAAATGTCCGTTCATCTTATACCAATGTAGTTTGGTTAATGGATTTAAAGTATTAAAAGTAGCATGGGTCAAAGGTAATGAAGAGCCTACCAATCCGTACTGAGGAAAAACCTGGCTTATTAAGATTTTTTCATCGTTTGAATTATCCGAAGATAAGATTGGAGATGATGGAGTTTCATCAATTGCCATATCAGATTCATTATTTAAAATAACCGCTTTGTTCTCAGTAACATCATATAGAAATTTTAATTCAATATAGAACAACTTCTTATCCAAGTCCGTTTTTTCAATCATGTTATTTTCAAATAATCCTTGGTTCAATTCTCGATTGGTTGTCTTGAGAAACTCTTTCTTGGGTATCGGGACTCTTCTTATGAGCTTATTTAGCAACTGATACGACGATGGGTAGTTGCATAGCAACGCTATATCCTTAACCAAAACATAATAAACATCTTGGAGTTTGAAAATCGAAAGTTTATAATTGTCGAGAAAGGACTCGAATTCCTGTTCGCTTCCACTCACGGGCGGCCTGAAGTCAATCCTGATCCTTACAGCGGTGTCGCTGGGTGCGTTGAAGTTTTCAGAAGGCCTTATAACCAGTATAGACATTGTTGTTGTAGAAAAGCAGTTGTTTATCAGTTTACCGCCCAAACTTTTACTGAATAACAAAAAAAAAAAAATAAAAAAATATCCAAACTATAAATCCGTACACCATAAACATCCGTGCCCCAGACAAAAGACCCATTCACCGGACCTTCTCCTTTATCAATAATCAATTGATTTCCTCGTATTTTAAGTTCCCCTAATAACCGAATGTATGGTCATAGAAAAACAAAGACCAGGGAAAAAAAAAACATCAACCCATTTGTAGAAGAGAAGCGTAGTTCTTTTCATAGTTGTAAAAGAAGTTCTTTTCATAATTGTAAAAGAAGACAGAGTCTGTATACAATGGGGTTGTCAATACTGAAGCTATTTAGCGGATTGTTTGGTCGCAAAGAGATGAGGATTTTAATGGTTGGACTTGATGCAGCCGGTAAAACCACAATCTTATACAAGTTGAAATTGGGAGAGATAGTCACCACTATTCCAACCATTGGGTTCAACGTTGAAACAGTTGAATATAAAAACATTGCCTTCACGGTGTGGGATGTGGGTGGACAAGATAAGATTCGACCATTGTGGAGGTACTATTTCCAAAATACCCAGGGGATAATTTTTGTTATTGATTCAAACGATCGAGACCGAATAAGCGAAGCCAGTGAAGAATTGTCAACCATGTTAAATGAAGCAGAACTACAAAATGCTTTACTATTGGTACTTGCCAATAAACAAGACTTGCCCAACGCTATGAATGCAGCGGAGATTACTGAAAAACTAAGATTGCACTCGATTAGACTGAGACCGTGGTTCATTCAAGCCACTTGTGCTACCACGGGAGACGGTCTATACGAAGGTTTAGAGTGGCTAGCATCTAGTCTCAAGAACTGATACCGTTGATAGATCCCGATAACACCTAGCTGTCAAACCGAGGACACGATTAGTGGTTGGGTACCCCTCAGCTGGTTAAATCAACCAAATAACGAGAGGAAAAAAAAAAAGTATCTGAAATGTCAAAACTTTTCACAAGGGATTGCGGGTTGTAGTATATATATATATATGTTCTTTTGCATTCTTTATATATCAATTGAATATCAATACAATTGAGTAGTAAAAGTAAGAAAAATTACTTTAATAACACCCTGAGAAACAATCCCCCAATACAAGATGGAAGGAGAAGATATTTTATACGAGGTCAGAGACAGAATGACAATTATCACTTTGAATAGACCCGAAGTTTTAAATGCCCTTAATGGGGATCAATACTTGTTATTGGCCAAATTAATGGAAAGAGCCAACCAGGAAGAAGATACCGTGGTCACCTTACTTCAATCTACCGGTAGAGCATTTAGTGCCGGGGCTAACTTTGCCGATAAAGGTCTTGCTAACGCTTCTACTGAAGAATTATTTAGTCACGAATACTGGCTTAATCGTTTTGTTTCCAGAAATGTCTTTTTAGCAGACTTGTTTCATAATCATGATAAAGTTTTGATTGCTGCCTTGAATGGTCCAGTCGTTGGATTAACCACCGGGTTAATCTCATTATGTGATTTGATTTACGCAAAAGATGAAAAGGAAACTTTCCTTTTGGCTCCTTTTGCTAACTTGGGTTTGGTTGCCGAAGGTGCTTCCAGTGCTAGTTTATTCTTGAGATTGGGCTGGTCGGTGGCCTCGGAAGCCTTGTTGTTTTCAAGAAAAATCCCCGGTGAAAGATTGACTCAATTGGGATTTATTAATAAGTCCTATCACGATGAGAAATTCGCTTCCACCGAAGAATTCAACGCCCGTGTGCAAAAGGACGTTCTTACTCAGTTTGAAGACTTACATGAACAATCCATTTTCCAAAATAAACAATTATTAAAGGCTAACAGAGATCAATTGATCAATAGTAGTATTACTCGTGAAGTTATTAAAGGTTTGAACAAATGGACCGAGGGTATTCCCCAAGGTAAGTTTGCTCAATTGATGCAAAAGGACATCAAACATAAACTCTAGGTTTCTTATAATGACTCTTCTATATATATATATATTATTATGTACGTGTGCTTATGATTTGGCTTGTAATGTTTGCAACAATTCCCGAGAAGGTTTTGTCCCTCGGTACAAAGAAAGACGTTGGTGTGTGGGTGTTCGTCTGGTGCATGGGTGTTTTCTTATGGAAGCTCAATTTGAACATTTCCTGTAGGACTGTGCCAGTTGATTATTACCATACCCAAGATGAGCTTTAACTTGCCAAACCCGAGTCTTTTGGGGATCTTGTTTGTTATATCGACTCATAGCGGGCCGCAATTAGTATTTAAGTATCCTCCAGATTTATCAAATGAAAGGATCCAAAAAAGAATACGACGTAAAAAGGTAAAATCGGCTTCGTTTGGTAGAAATTCAAATACTGATATTGATGATACTTCATCTTCAGATGACGATGGAGACGCAGAAGATGATTATGAAGTGGTGGACTCAGATGAAGATAGTAATGTTCAAGAATTTGAAACGGAAAACGAGTGGGATAGTAGCCATTTAGATTTCTATATGGGTACTAAAAAGGATATTTTTTCATTTCTAGATGAACAAGAACGACAACGAAAATTGAAATTGAAAAAATCAGAAAACGAATTGAACTTTAAAGAGAAACCACATAACTCAATTGATGCTATTAAGATTTCTGATAATGATTTTTCAAGTAATCGTGGATTGAGAAAAACCTTATCGGGCTTATCACAAAAATCTTCCCATTCACGATCTTCTTCGAATAATAATGTTCAATTGACAAGTCCTACTGAAGTTTTGGGGTTTGAACCGGATTATTTAAGTGAAATCTTGACTCCTCCCAAACAAATGTGCAATTCAAGGTTTGAAATTATGATTGAAAATTCAATCTTCCTTGGTCTTCCAATTCATAATTATGATGATGGTTCTTGGCGAATTACGAAAAAGAAACATTCAAAATCAAATAAAAGTCATTCTAGTAAATCGAAAAAACCTTCTTCTACCAAAAGTGATGCTGAGTCTAATAATAATCACGATCTTAATAATGACTCTGCTGTTAATAATGATGATGATTTAAATGGCGAAGATGCTGATGAAGAGGATAACGTTAATAATAATGAAAATATAAAACATTCAATGAACATGTTCCATGTGGTATTCATAATGAACCCTCCCATCATTGAATGTAATTATCGTATTGATGAAATGTTTCATTATGTTATATCGAGATTGTCTTTGGTCTTAAGATATGAACAACTGAAACATGACTACGTTTGGAATCAAGTTAAATTAATATCAAAATTGAAAAATGAATGGAAACCGTCCTCTAATATCTCGTTGAATAATTATTTAATCATGAAATCTTCTTTGGCAAAATTAATCGCAGAATGTTATACTTCTATTTCTTCTTCCAAAATTGCTAACTTATCAATTAATAATAAATTAAGATCTTTCCAAATCCCAATCAAAACTGAGTTCCACTCACTACCTGATTCAACCGTTCCTTTTTTACCCGGTTCTCATCTTTCTTCAACTGTTAATATGTTGGGGAATACTGGTCTTATTAACGTTGGTGAAACTACCAGATATGGTATGAGTAATATGATGACTATTCTAATGATGGGAGGTGGGAACCCAATGATCCCTTCATATCAAAACAATGGTGCCCTCAAAAGTTTGGACGATGATCAAGATGATAATGAAGATTCTGATGAAATCGCTAATGCTGAAGATATCATTTATTTCGCTTTATTACTCTTGGATGATCCTGAAACTATCATTAAGGATATTAGAGGTGAACTGCATAGTACCCTTGCAAACTTTATCAGAATGATAAAACCAACTGAGTCTTTATTGAAATTATCAAATAAACTTCAACAAAGTGATAATTCTATTTCAGTTGATATTAATCAAATCAAGTCATTCGCTTTTCATTTGATTTATTGGAGAAGGGCTAGAGTTATTGCACCGCTAAGCACTAGGTCTGTTTATATTGTTTCTCCTATGGCTCCAATCACTATAAACTTGCACGAAGATATTCCAAAATTCAAAGATTCATTCCAAACTTTACCTTCTTTGCCTCATTTCCTAAAATCATTATCAACTCGGTCGAGAAAGCCAAAACAATTTGCTACTATTATCCCTTCGAAAGACCATAGGGATATTTATTTGAACGCTTTAGCGTGGTTGATAAGATTCGGTTATGTTACTCAATTGCATACGTTTATTTGGTTAAAGATATCAAGAAAAGTAAAGTTAAAAGTTGAAGAAGACTTGGAATATGAATCAAGTAAAATTGCTAAGAGAAAGCGTGACAGTGATGCAACGGATAAATTGACATCAAATGTTAGGTCGTCTGGTACGACTGATAATACTTCCAAACAGATCGATGAAGGCCTTTCAGACATAAGGAACTATAAGGCCAACAATGTCTCGACTTCGAGTTATGATCCAGATCTTGAGTTGTTAGATAAAAATATTAAATCTCTCAATTTGGGCCCAAATATTGTCTTGGAAGATGATGAAGATACTATTGTAATTGATCCCGGTAGAGCTACAACTTTAGAAAGAAGATGGATTAATAAAATAATTGAAGATGAATGTAAATTATCCCCTGAATTAACGGGTGTGTTTTTCAAATTGCTAAAGTACATGAATGGTAAGAACTCTTTAGAATTGCTCCTCTTAAAGGAAAATATAACTCGACATGATTTAAGGAAATTACTTTTCGCAATTGAAGATCATATCATATCCGTTAGACACTGGTAACTAATATTCTTTTCCGTCTTATTACTTAAAATAACATCTATTACTGTACATATATTACATTATATAATCATTTTTAATAGAGATTATGCAAAAACGTCTTCCCTATCTGCTTCAACCTCAATTCCTTCTATTTCATTAAAAGTAGAGAAATGGGTTGGACGATGTAATTCATGATAGAAAGGTAACGGTATATCAATTTTCAAGTCGAACTCAGCATTTGGATCCCAAACTGGGCCAATAAATGAATAGTTCCAAATATTATCATCAGGAACTAAAAATGTACCCATTATTCTATCGGAAAGAAGTAATTGGTTCTTCTTGGAAAACTCGGGTGAAAACCCAGCAGGTGCATCGGAGATGACGTCTTTATTGGTCATACCCCATTGGTAGCCCTCATGGTTTAAGGTGAACGCAGCTAATGAAACAGAACCTGGTGTGAACGCAACAGACAAAGTAATCAAATTTTCTGTCCATTCAGATTCATTGTTACTCTTCAATCGTGCTAGTGAAGTAACATCAATAGGAGATAACAGATCTGAGCTTTGATTTTGGGTATGGATCCAACCTAAAAGCTCAAGACTGGACAAATAATTTTGATTTTTTTTATCATATAATTTGGTTGGGAATTGTATAGAGTGGGAGTTGGCTAATTGTGGAACCAAAGCAATGGCTTTGATTTCTTTGATTTCATCATTATCCGAAGGAGAAGATCCATATATAAAAGCACCAACTTGAGTACGTAAGTCCGAAATTTGAACAAATTTTTTCAATAGATTCTTTGGCATAATATAAGTGAAACTTTCGTCATCAACAAAGTCATCAGATGAAACGTAAATATTTTTGGTACGTAAGTGCAAATTATTAGAAGCAATCAATCGGTTTCTCCATTCATTTTTCGAGACGAACGACAGTTGTTCATAATTTGTAGTTGTGACAGTCACTATCTCTTCACCGTGTACATTTTGCGTTGTACTTTTCAAAGCTGTTAATTGTTGATTGTCACTGGCTTCAGGCTTTTCTTCGACATCAGTCAATTCTTGTCTCTTTACTGAAGGCTTTCTGACATCTTGGCCCAAAATCAAATCTCTAATTTCTGATTGCGTAAGAGATTGAATATTGACATTATGCTTCTTCGAATAATCAGAAAGAATAAGATCACGCAATTGTGTTTCTATGTCAATCCATTGTTCATCACTGAAAGTAGGCCATATATGATGATCCTGGGTAACAACGCTTGCATCGGGACGTAAGATCAAGTTCGTTCTCTCTTGGTTAATACTGAGAGCCCTAAGCAAAAGAATGACTCTTGAAAATGCTGTATAGGAGGAAATCGTTTTCAACCAGTCATCATACATATTGAACAAAACCATTTGGGGTTCATTTGCCTTTAATACAATATCAGCTAATTTATCTATTTTCATAGCAGCACCAAAGGGCAAGTGAAGCTCGGAAGGCCTTATAGAGATATTAGGAAAATCTAGCATGTGAACTTCCAAGGGATCCAACATACCTTTTCTGGTTACAATTAATTGCTTTGGTTGTTCTTCCCTAGGTAATGATCTTACCAATGCTGCAACTTCTTCTGCTGTCTTCCATTTAGCTAATTGACCCAAACGTTTTTGACCAGCCCATACTGATGTATGAATAATCTTCAAGAATAATTGCCCTGTTTTAGGATTCAAAATGAACACAGACCCATTAATTGGTTTTGTAGTGAGATTACCTTCAAAAGTTTTATGAACAGTCACACGATAAACATTAGTATCATCAATAAATAGCTGGGTTTCATTATTAAATAGTTCAGCATAATTGTTGGCATTCAAAAACGCCTCCTGTGGTTGAGATTGATATAGTTGAAGACCCTTTCTAATACGTTCACGCAAGACATATAATGCGGGATTTGACTTCATGATTTCTTTCATTGCATTCTGCATCAATGGCTTGAGCCCTGAAAACCAACTACCATATATGTCATACATATTGTATGCTAAGTCGACACCAACCATTGCACCAGTTGGTGAAGGATAAGTGCTAGTACCATCAGTTGTATAGTCCAAAAACTTAGCTCGAGTATATCTTGAAATATCATGAGAGTCATAATCACCATATCTTAACTGAACATCAATCCAAAACTTGTTTGTTGTGGCCGCATCAAGAGAGTCATTTGTGTCATTTAAAAGTGAAGGTCTAGAGACATTCCACTTGTAAGTGCTCTGTAAAACAATATCCGCACAGGATGAATTCATTTTATACGATTTACGAGGATGAATTGCTTGTTTCTCCACATTGTCGATTTGTAAAACTTCTAATTCCTTGTCTAAGACTTGACAAATATCTTGCACAAGACTTTCATGTATCTTCTGCCATAAATGAGCACGGAAAATTTGAATCAAAGATATTTTCAAAGTTGGGATTTTACCATGCAAGAATATACCTGTCAAATCTAATTGAACCAAAAAACCAACATAAACATTTGCACGATTAATAGTTGGTGACCACCATAAAGTGAATCTTCTATTAGGAATTTGACTTAAACCGGATCTTTGGGCATTAGTCAATTTCTTGAATTTCAAGGAATCTTCAAAACCTGATGCCTTCTCCCAAAAAAGACCTTCCCAAGAATCAAAACCAGTTCCTTTGAATAATGTGTGTTCTAGAATTGTTTCAATACCACCTAAAGCTTGGATAACATCGGCACGATAAGCATTTAGATTCCATAATTTACCATCGTGGTGATTACTAGTCCACCAGAAAGGATTGAACCGAGGTAAAGAATATTGTTTGAAAACCCTACGAATTCTATGGCCCTTATCATAAGCCAATGTGTGTCTGTCTTTTTGGAAAAGAGTACTTATACGTGGCAAACCACGGTCCCAGTTACTCTCCATATCCTCGAACGTGATTCTTCTATTTTGTTCGGCAGCCTCTTGCCTTTTGATTGCGTATTCAGCCCATACCCTTTGGGAGTCTAAGAATTCGTTCTCCCAGGTGGTGATGTATCTGAAGATAGTCGGTATCATTTTTTCTTCCATATGGGTCATACCTGCCCTGAAATGAGTGATACCGGTATCGGTCTGTTTTGACCATCTTAAATCAGAAGCTGGAATCAAAATATGAGAGGCACTAAGCATTCCAAGTCCACCTAGTTCCTTGGGGGTATAGAATACAGCAGGCGGAAACCTAGAAGGCATCTTAGAATTGAGACCCATTTTAACTCTATTTTGAATTTTAGTTTCACATTTTACCAAGACACTAAGTAATGACTCTGTAGAGACAACAGCTTCTCTATAGTAAGCAAAGAGAGCGATCAAAGCGGTGTTCCATTTCGATGCAACTTTAGTGAAGGTTGTCGAGCCAGAAGACATTAAGATTTGACGAATTCTATTATTAAAACTATCAACCGCTTGAGGGCTAACCTGTAAGTAAGCCTTTGCGGTTCTTTCTTTTGTGTTTTGATCTATCAAATCCCAAACACCTTCTTGAGAAGACTTAACTTCTTGCATTCGAGACTTCGGAAGAATTCTGACCTCGAAACCACACATTGCAAAAAGCAAATTCGGATTCTCATTTGAATAGACAGATGCAAAACTTTCATCCCATTCAATGGTAGTAATAGATTTTGGAATACGACCCGAAATTTCCCAGAAAACAGCTCTACCAAGATTCACATCATGGCGCATTAACCTCATCCTAGAGTCTTTTGGCCAACAGCGCTTATTATTATAACCCACAACATTTTCAAAATTAGGGTCAGGGTTCTCAGAAAGATAATCCTGAATTAAGCCATTTGCTTCTTCGCTATCAAAACGGAAAAAAATATGAATCTTATCCATATAACGAGAGTATAGTCTAATTGGACTCGATATTTCTGTCTCTTTATTTTTGAATTGAAGGAAGTTATTTGGTTGTTGGGGTGAACCTGCAATCTCATTGGCTCTATCTAAACCTAAGATCAATAAATCAATTACTAACCCATAGTATTGATAAACAAAGGATGCAAATTGTAAACCACGGATGAGACCGAATTGGTTGGTATGGTTCATATCTTTATAAGCCAAATTTACGTTATTCTTAGAAGTAATATAGTCAGCAATGTTGGGATCGACAATTAACCTTAACAACCTATTTAATAATGTGAGGTCAATATTTTCCGCAAATTTGCTTAACGATGTCTCGAGCATGACATTACTTTCACCTTCGTCTGTTTCCCATACGTTTTCCAAATTGTTGATACCTTGACACCATTTATAGGTTAACAAAGGCGGAATTTCGTCATCACTTGGTTTGACCCAGTTAGGGAAAAGTTGTCTTTTTTGTGCTTCATACCATAAATATTGATCTAAATAAGTATCAGTAATTTTCTCAAGAGGATCTATGGCATAAGTTGGAACCAAATGGTCATAGTAATCCATCATTTCTAGTCCTACTTCTTTGAAAATTCTTTGGGTTAATAAAAATTTCTTGATTCTGGCAAGGCATTCATGAGGATTATCATAAGCTTGTTCTATGAGAGCTAATTCTTCTCTCTGGGATGAATTCATACTAGCATTTGCATTATAACTTTCTTTCAAATTCTCTAAGGCTAAAACTAATAATTTGGTATCATGTTTGTACGATAAAGGGGGGAATGGAATGGGGCTGAACTTTCTGCTTTCTAACCAATGTACCATGGTTTGGAAAATTTTTACTGCTTGATCTGGAGTCGTATATGGGCCATCTTTAGCGAAATTCGTTTGACGGTCTTGTTCATTTTTAATCCATAATCTAGTGAGTCTACCTAAGTTTTTCTTAGCAACAGTCTTTTCAACAGTAGCACCTCTTCTAATTCGATCTCTGTTGTAATGGGCAACAGAAATCCATCCATCAGCTTTGGCCTTGATATAACGTTCAATTATTTTTTCTATTGGAACGGGCATACCAGGTACCTTCCAAGGTATATTAGCTTTCCAGCACCTCCAAGCTTCACTGAGATGTTGTAATATTGTTCTAGATTTGCTTTGCTTCAAGTTTTCTGGTATCATATCTAAGATATCATGCATGACTTGTGCACGAAGCTCAATATCATAATATGCATCAACTCTTTGTTTGGTTATGGTTTTGGCAACGTCATTAGCACGTCTACCTTCAAACTGTCTTGCTAATAAGTTACCCAACCACCTTTCGAGCAAAGGTATAATACCTCTCATAAAATTTAGCCATACTCTCCATGCTGGCTGCCAGAACCCACATCCTGGACCCTTACCAATAACAGAATTGAACTTTTCATATACAACATGTTTGAGATCCTTGCAAGCTCTTATTTGGTGCATTACTTTATATTTGTACCGGTATATACCAGTCAATTGACCTAAATGGTTCAAAATATAATAGATACCATCTGCCAATTGGTAGGCGTCAACGTTTCCGAGTCTAAATTGGACATGTGAATCAACTATAATCTTCACCATTCTCAAAAGTTCTCTAATTAGATGAAATGCATTACCAAACCTGGATTTCTTTCTTTCTTTGGTTGTCAATGTTTTCGTTGGTTTTAAGTTGAAGTTATAATCTAAATGCAAATAAGTGAGACCACGTTTATGGATCAATAAATTCAACATATTAAAACCTTGACGGCATACTTGAAGTGCAGCCTCAACCCAATCTACACTTGTTTGTTGGAAGTATTTTGTATTTTTCAAGCTCTTCAATAACTTAATCTTTCTTTGATTACTCATTTTGGACCCACTTTTGCTTCCAGAGGGATTGTGTAGCTCATTCAAAACATAATTTTTCAATAATTTCTGATACGAAACACGGACTTTGATGGGTGCCTTTCTAGGAGAATGCTCTTTATACCAAGATTTGACAAGTGCCACATCTTGTGCCCTCACTGTTCTTCCACTACGGCGATTGAAAGGGTATGGGGAATGCCATAAATCGAGGGCCGATTTCGTAGTATCAGGTTCTAGTGGAACGTCAACAATTTCAAATTGACCATCATTTTCAACTTCCTTTGAAGCAAGAAGTGGTTCGAACGAATCAGGGAGATCAAGATTGAAATCGATATCACTGAAGTCTCTATTAGACTTTGAAGATTTGTGTGGAAAGATTGGATTTAGCAGATCATGGAAAGAAAATGCTGGCTTGTTCTGGTCATCAACTTTATTCACGACAGAACAGTTGAAAGGTTCGTGGTAATTTGTCAAATAAACATTTTTAACAAAAGAATTATATAAATAAGGGAATGCAATTTTATATTCAGTTCTTATAGGGATTCTGAAAATGATGCGATCGATGGAATTAAATTCAGTGAAGTCTTCTAGCTCAGGATTATTGATTTTATCCTTGAACAACGGCTCAAATTTTGGTCCGCCTGGTACAGATATATTCAAACTCTTGGCTGAAAAAAAAGCTTCCTTATTGAATAAGTAGAAGTAGTTAGGATCATTGATGTTAGATAATAATGGTTGAGCCAATTTATATAAATTAGCCATGGTAGAAAGATCTATTGCCCATGTCTTATAGCTGGGGCCGTTAACAACTTCTAAATTTTCGATTAAAGGTTTTTCATCATAGAACCAGTCTATCACAAATTTATCATTTTTTTCATGTAAGTCTAACTGTATACCTTCAGGAGGTTCTACATCTTCGATATTTTCTATCCAGTCGATTGGCGGTTCTTCATCATCAAAAGGAGGAAATCTCATTCTCTTAAAATGCCTTCTATCTCTTTTCTCTCTTCTCATCATAATCCATGCAGTAGCCCATTGAGCAGTATAAACTGGCTCAATTACTCTCGGTATTTCGTTAACAAAAGTTATCGCTCCAGTTATATGGTATAAAACCTTCACTTCTTTCGAGTTTTCCCAAGGTTGTGGCATATTTTCTAAAAGTTTTAAAATGGCGTGGGGCATATATTTCAATGACCCTAGATGAGATCTTTTGTCGGATGCAACTTTTTTTGAAGATAAATCGCCATGATCTAACATAATCTTTCTGAGATGTTCTGGCGGCATTTCAGCCTTTCTTGGTTGAGAAATTCCTCCTTTACTTGACTTTAAGCTGGAAGTCGAGTATCTCTTTTTCTGTAACTGAAGCCACATACTCTTCTTTGTCTGCAAGCTGGTTTCATCCAAATTACTTGTTTTAGTTCTTTTTTTCTTAGGAGAGGTCAACCTATTCGTTGAGGGTGGTGGAGGTGGTGCTTGAGATGATCTATGTCTTCCATTGTTATGATGCGATGGAGGTGGCGGTGGCGGTGGTGCTTGAGCTCTTCTCGATTGTAAACCTGGTGGAGGTGGTGGAACCGAAGGACGCTGAGATTGACGATTACCGTTTACCCCCGGCGGAGGTGGGGGAGGTGGTAACTTTCTGCCCATTTGTTTGATTCAAGAACACTCGATGTCGTGCTTATAAAGTATGAGTAAAAGAATGTTAAACAATATTAGTCCGAATACTAAGCGCTATCTGAATGCTCATCTAGCAAAAAAAAAGGAAAACATCACCAATAATGTCGCACGTCCTTATTTTTGTCGCGGTCTAATGTCGCTCTCTGATTTATAATTATAGATTAAGAGTCGTATAACTTGAACTCATTTTATAAGATTTTTATAAACTCAAACGAATTGACAATTGATGAATTCGGGACTATAGTCTTACATTATTTAGCTCCATGACGAATTCTTCAGTAATGTCGAATTCCTCGATAGTTTCGGGATCCACAGGTTTAATGAACTCGTCAGCTGGTCAGAATAGCCTAAACACTGACCTAGAGTTTGATCTGTCTTTTAGCTCATTATTTCAGTCTCTTATTGATTCTGTTGTTGAACAAAGTGGAACTGCAAAAGAGTATGGTATGACTTGGGAAAGATTTGGACCAATGATTTCCTATTGCTGCTCACTATACGGTGTGTCTTGTCTATTAGTTACGGTGATTTTGAATCGTACTATGGTTTTGGCATCAAGTAATATCAGAACTGGACAACAACAAAATCGCCAGAAGCTGGTATATAACTTGAAGAAGGGTACTGTTTTTGGATTGCGGGCCTTGACCATAATTATTTTGTTAAATAATTTATGGAATTGTCTAATTGTTCTTAAATTAACCGGGGTTAACTCTGAGGTAACTCCCTGGTATGTCAAGTTTCTTCCCGATAATTTACACAACTATGATTCGGAAAATGTCTGGTTTGCCAAATATATACCTAAGCAATTATTCGGATATAATCCAGATGATTACCCTGCAAATAGCTATATGGCTACTCCAAAAAACTCCCCAACAATAGGTCCAAGTACTGTGATTTATTGGTCTGTATTCTTGGGTGCTTGTCTACTGGTGTTTGTTGAAACTTTTTCGTCCACAATTTTAGGTGAAAAACGCTATGTTAGTGCTGGATTTACATTATTCGAACTTTCAGCTGGATTTCATGAACAAAGTTCAGCTGCTCCATTCTTACCATCTCTGACAATTCATAAACCTACAGAAGGATTGGTTATCATTTGCATTTATCTGATTCTTTGTCATCTTAACAATCATGTGGGTAGTATCATCAACAATAATAAATATAGGTTAATTCCTCTGACTATTCTTGGAATGGGTTTACTTGGATACTTTGCTAATTCTATCAGACAGCATTCTACTTTTGACATTTCTGTCCCATGTGTGATGGCACTTTTTCCCCAATTGGTAACATGCATTGGTGTTTTTTTAGCTGGCGTTATTTTCCTTTTGGCTATTATTGCAAATGGTTTTGATATTGGAGCTCTCAATTACGGAAGGCTTTTTTTCAATGAAGATGATAACATATCACCTCAAGAAAGGTTTAACGTGGGTCTTGATGATGATTTTTTAACTGCCTTGGTAAGTTTTGGTCAATTAGCAGTAACCCTGGCTGGTAAATCATGTTATATTACAGAACTTAGTTTGGTTAATGTTGAACCTGAAACTTATATCGAAAGATCAATTTGGACCTTCTTAAAGTCACAGGTAAGATCATTCCGTAAATTACCGCAAGACCGAAGACCAAACCGTGATAATTTATTGGCATATTTGAAAGATCATAAAATATCAGGATATAATAATATAATTACGAATCCAAGTAAGCGATTGCTTTCTGACGGTAGTTATAATATTGATGATGATGATCTTGAATATTACAATGAGTTTAGAGTTTCTAATATGAGTATTCATCGTAAAAGGTTTGTGTTCGTTACCAGAATATATATTAACTTGATTCAATTGATCAAAGGGTTAGTGATTGATAAATTTATCCGCTCTTACATTCCTTACTTGGTAAAGGTCTATATACTTCGAATTCAACTTTCGGGGACTTTTAGAAAAAACATGATTGAAACTGATGATGAATTCGAAGCCCGTAAACAATCGGTTCCGACTTTTTTAAGGAGATATGTTCGAAAATTACAACCAGTTGAAAGTGTCATTCCGTCACCCGTACTAGAAGATGAAGACTCTGCAAAAGTTCAACTCAGTCAATTCACAGACCAGCAGTTACGTAATGAGTATGTGTCCATATTACAAGGTGAAGACATAGCTGAAATAGATGAGTCGGAAGATTTTCTAGAGAATGCTGAATCAGAACTGGAAATCGAAAGTGATTTTTCGGATATAGAATCAATTGATTTGACACAAAGTGTGGTAAACTCAGCAAGAAGACCTAACCCTAGTTCCGATAACATCCAGCTTGCTATCAATGAATTATTCACCCCTCAAGGACTTCAAGAATTTATACAATCACCATTGGAATCATCAGTTTTACAAAAGCACTTGACGTACGATGGTATATTGACCAGATCGAAATACAACAAAATGATAAAACCAGCAGAAGAGGTCAAAGACGAAGCTGGAAAATTACTTGAGCTTATCATAGAGAAGAGAGGCGAGGAATTGAAAGACATTCTCGATGGTAAAGAGCTTCCAAAAGAGCACAAAAAGATCGAAGACGACGGTGACTCGATCGACGACTTTGCTGATTCTAAATTTGACTGTGTTATCTGTCAAACTAATACCAGAGAAATCATCACCTGGCCATGTCGATGTTTTGCAATTTGCGAAAGTTGTAGATTGAGCTTGGTATCAAAAGGAATGGAAGGATGTGTCTGTTGTCGTAGAGACGTCGAAGGTGTTTCCAAAGTCTTTGTTCCATAACCTCCTCTATTCCTCCCTTACTACATGTCTGTATATGTCTATATAATGTCTATGTAATGTCTATATTATCTCCAATTGTTACGACTGCCAAATCTTAGACTGGGACCGAATAATGGACGGATTATGTAATTGATTATGTAATCGATCCACCTGGGTACTGGAACAAAGGGTGTAAAGATCCTTGAGAAAACCAAACAATAAACTCACCCTAGCAAACTTTTCTGAATTACATCCCAAGTGGGTATATACTACTTTTGATTAACTCCTTTTGATTTACTTCTTTTGACTTACTCCTTACTCCTTTGGTGTAACAGATATACGAAGACGCTAATCGTCGATTGACTTATAAAAACTACACGTCTTCGAAGTCCTCTCGCTTTTTTGATTCACGAAGGTAGCTAATATTTCAAGTTTTCTTTACTATTCATTGTCTTGTCTAATTTCATTAGAAGTCAACGTTGCCCTTTTGTATTGCTAATCAAGTGGGTTTTTGCTAATTAAGAGCTTTAAATCCTTAAGGCAATTTCAAAAAAACAAAAACAAAAAAATTGAAATTACGTTCTTCTGTACTCTAATTTAAAGCTAGATTATTACCTTTATAATCTGCTTATTTTGATCTAGATATATATTCCCGACCTCTTTCGTTAATCATGGGTGTTGATACCTCGGTGGCTACTACCACAATTACACACACGGTTACTGCCACGACTACGTTGTCCCCTTCTTTTGAACTTATTTCCATCACCTTAGGTGAAAAGTTTCTTCAGTGTTTAAATCTTTTAGATAAGTTACCTGGTGGTCAAATAATTCTTAGATACATTAAGTCTTCTTATAAAGATGACCCCATTAGATCTCTTTTTGAATTAGCTTTGTTTGTTTTCGCTATCCACTATTTTCTTTCTTCTAAGAAGAAAGAAAATAAATCCGAATTGGTTAAGTTTTCCGGTCGTGAAATTGATGAGTTAGTTAATGAATGGACTCCTTCATCTTTAGTTGAACCAGTAAATGACTTAGAAAAATGGGAATTGAAATCCATTCCTCAAGTTCATGGTGCAAATGGTTTGTATGTTAAGTTGGATAATCCAAAGATTAATGATGCAGTTTTAAATTTGGCTTCAAATGATTTCTTAAACTTAAGTTCTAGTGAAGATATTAAATCTGCTGCCAAAGGTGTGATCAGTTCATCCGGTGTTGGTGCCTGTGGTCCTCCAAATTTTTATGGTACCCAAGATGTTCATGTAAGATTGGAAGAAGACTTATCTAACTTTTTAGGGACTGAACAAGCAATCATATATGGTCAAGATTTTGTCACTGCTGGTTCCGTAATCCCTTCATTCTTGAAAAGAGGAGATTTAATCATTGCCGATAGTGGGATTAATTTAGCTATTCAAAAAGCTTTGATCGTTAGTCGTTGTGATATCGAATGGTATGATCATAATGATATGGATCACTTGGAACAAATCTTAACTGAAGTCAAACCAGTCTTGGATAAACAAAAACCAATTCGTAGAAGATTTATTGTTACTGAAGGTCTTTTTGCTAATTCTGGGGAAATCGCTAATTTACCTCGTATTGTTGAATTGAAAAATAAATTTAAATATAGATTGTTTTTAGATGAAACATTATCCATTGGTACCATTGGTAAAACCGGTAAAGGTATTGTTGAACACTTTAATATTCCAAGATCAGAAATTTCAATCACTATTGGTTCCATGGCTTTATCATTTGCTTCCTCTGGTGGATTCTGTGTCGGTGTTGCTCCAATGGTTCTCCATCAAAGAATTCAATCTAATGCTTACGTCTTCAGTGCTTCTTTACCACCTTATTCAGCTAAAGTTACTTCTGAGGCAATTAAATTGATCACCTCTAAGACTACATCTTCAGGTGACTCTGCTATAATCCATGATTTACAATCAAATGTGTCTGCTGTCTACAACCAATTATTAAATTTGAATAATTCCTATGTCCAAGTTGTTTCTAATCCCTTATGTCCTGTTATCCATGTATCATTAGATCAAGCCTACAGATCTTCTTTAAACTTGCCAGTTGCTTATGGTTCTTTGGATTTCTTAAATACCGGAAAGCAAGCAGCTTCTTTGAATGAATTTGATCACAAATATAATGCAGAATCTTTCATACTACAAAAAATCATTGATCAACTTCTCATTCAATCTAATGTTTTGATTACTAGATCAAAAAACATTTTGGAACATGAGAATTTACCTACTGCTAATCCTCATTTATTAATCTTTATCAGTTCTGGTGCTAAGCAGGTTGATTTGAGTAATGCCATTGCATCTTTAGACTCAATAATTAGCAATGTATGCAGCTCAATCAAGTCTGAAGCAGACCTCCTCAATCTTGAAAATGAAATTGCAAGATATTAATCCTTATAAATTTCAATACTTCTTGAATCAAGTGTTTTATAATTGCGGTATCTGACAACGTTTGCCGTGTTTATACTAGTTAATAAACTAATTATATAGCTGCTTCTTCCCCCAGCATGATTACATGCTTCAATGACTTATCCTAATTGGATCTCTACAAATTTGAAAAATGTCTTTCTCTTAATCTCTCTATTCAATTTTATAATTATGTGTTTCGAATAATAGAAACATGAAGACATTTTTCGTCTCTGTGCTTTTTCTCTTTGAACCCTTTATTGACCCTGATGGGTCACTTAATTAATTTTAATTCTAATACCGTATGCCTTTGTCTTCTTGATATGTACATCTATACACTAATAATAATAATTTCACAAAACCTTACGGAGAAGGATCAAACTATTTGGATAACCTACTTCTTGCATCTCTAGCTATTGATCTGGCTTCTTCAACGTCATGAGCATTACTGAGATTCATCTCTTTTGCTAATTCATAAGCTTCTTCAAACCTGCGATTTTCCAAAGCATGTCGTGCTAGCCATAATCTTGCTTTGGATGTCTCATCACTTATACCCCATTCATATTCTTGATCAAAACATATTCTCATATATTTATAAGTATCCTTCAGTCTCCCTAATTTTTCCGATATTAATGCTAATTTATAACAAACATGAGGCTCAACACTGAATTCTTCAGGATTATCATTTCCGGTTTTACTAAAATTATCTATAGTCATAGCCTTTTCAAATGCTTTCATAGCTTCTTCCAATTTATCGATCTTTTCATAACAATTACCAAGAGCTTGCCACATTCTTTTATCCAAAGGTTGTAAGTTAGTTGCTCTCTGATAATAATAAAGAGCATATAAATGCATATCCAATACTTCATATGCTTGTCCCAATCCATACCAAGCTCGAAAATCTTTTTGGTTGGTATCAACGGCTCTTCTATAAGATTCGATGGCTGCATGAGAATTCTTCAACTCAACAAATTCATGCCCCATTAAAGTCCAGGCACTTAAGCAATTCTTATTTAAAGTCAAAGCTCTTTTGTAGTACATGATAGCTTTTTCATGTTCACATTTCATTGAATGGTAGTTGGCCACTATACAGCAAGTTTCTGGTCTAAATTTATCAATCAGAGAGGCAAGCTGTGCTAAAAAGGACAATTTTGATCTTTTTTCCATAACATAAAGCATATTGGAGTAAGTATCTAGATCATCTAGTCTTAAAGGATCATTCATTAGGATTTGATCGAAAATGGCTTCTGCTTGAAAGTAATCAAGGCCATGATATGCAATTAAAAATTGTTGAACTCTTAAGAAATTGAATTTTGGGAAAGTTTCTAGTAAAGTATTTAAACTATCTGATAAAGATGCCAGTTGCTGGTAAAACTCTTGTAGAATGACAACTTCAAAAAACTGAAACATTATATTGGTTACCAAGGAGGTGTTAACTGATTTTGCTTTATTAATGAATGACATAGCTTCATCAAAAGTTGTCAAAGATGCGATAAGTTCCTGCCAACATGACCAATTATAAGGGAATAAACGTAGAGACTGGAATAAACTATTCTGTGCCAAGCTATATTTTTTCTTTTTGTTATATATGATACCACTGAGATAGTATAAGAAGGCATTAGGTTTATTTCCTTTTGAATGATAATTCTCTGATTCTCTAATGACTTTGGATAGTTTTGAATTTAATGATCCAATCAATTCACGTTGTCTTGAATCCCCATATTCACTAATATTATCAGCGGCCTCGGTCCTGATACTATTCTGCAAAGATCCAACATTTATCGAACCATCAGTTTCTTCTGTGGCTTTCTTATCAACAGATATTAACGTTGAATATAACTTCAAGAATAGCGCGTTTCCACTTTTGCAATCTTTTAAGACATAGGCAGCTCTATCGAATTCTTTGCAGTTGAAGTATGTCTTAGCGAGTAGAAACTTCTCTTGATCGTGTTTTTCATCTTCATCCAATTCTGGTAGAGAGAAGTCAATTGCAGGAGCATCTGGTGAAGCTTGGGGTAACCCATTCAATGCTTCTGCGCACCATTTTGCAGATTGGAACAAGTTGAGATTGGATAAAATTATAGAAGACGTATAAAATCGTTTTCTCAAGTCATTGATGCTATCTGTAGACATTCTGCTATTCTGACTGGGTATTACAAAGATTTTGATTATGTTAATCAAATCATAACAAAAATCAAAAGTTTTGATTTTCGATCTCACAAAGAGAAAGAGTTGAAAAAAAAAAAATTGAAAAGTGCGTTTCTATGAAATTTATTGAAGATTATTTAGTATTTCATGAGATAGTTTACGAAAGAAGCTAATAGTATGGTATTAACAAGCTCAGCTGAGATAGCAAAGGAATCTTTAAGCTCTGCTGATAAGCTTTTGAAATTGACTAATGACCTTGTTAAGGACCAGGGTAATAATGAGGTAAAGCGAGAATTGAAGAGTAGTAAGAGACAATATATTCTTGATTCCTTTAAAGTGAATAAGTTTCATAAAGATTACCAAGAATGGGAGAATAAGGAGAGGTTATCATTTATTAATACAGAAGTTAAACTGTTCAATAAAAAACTAGGTGAAATGACAAGATTAAACGATGATGTTGAAGATTCAGAGAAAGAATTTGATAAATTACATAAAAATATAAAATTACCGAGTTTTGAATTTTCGATACAAACTATTGAACAATTCGAGGATGGAATTTATTTGAAATATCTCGAGAAAGATGAAGAAGGAAATTACCCGTCCAAAGTTGCAATGCTGACGATATTTGCACTTGATTCTGAGTCTGGTTTGGAGACTCCAGATTTTAGTGTTTTCAATAAGTTACTCAATATCGAGTATCGATTAAGGATGCAAAGGCAAATAAAGTATGAAGTTTTGCTATTGGTGAAGCAACAATTGAGAACAAAGAATCGTAAATGGGCTGCTAGAGATTCTTCATTGAATCAGTTTATTTCTAGAGATTTACCTCTGGTTTTTTCCGAGGTTGAAAACATCAAGACTAATGAATATGAAGACTTGAAAGACTATAATGATGAAGAGGACGAAGATCTCGATATTGATGAAGATTCTGGAGATAATGAAGACGATTTGGAAAAAGATAGGGAAGGAACTCAAGAGCCGGAACAAAATCATGAAATTTATAGTAAAGCTCAAGATGAAATATCTCAAGATGAAAATAATGAAATAGCGCAAGAAGTCGTAGACGAGAAGGACGATGATGAAAAGGACGATGATGAAAAGGATGATGATGGAAAGGATGATGATGGAAAGGATGATGATGGAAATGACATTAATGATAACGCTCAAATAGATATGACTGCTCAAAATGACCGGCCAGAAATTGATGAAGATGATGTCATGAAAATTGATTAGTATACGAAAGATAATATAAGTCATAAAATACATTTATTATATCAGAATAACCTGTAGTGTGTGTCATAACGACTTTACTTTGAATGAGAATAGATATGGGAAAAGAATACAAAAATAAATATTAAATATACAGACTATTAGTCTAATGAAGGGGAAGAATCAATAAAAAAAAAAGTTAAAGGGTCATAAAGAGTTCATTTATTTCTTATCTGAGACTGGAGCAGCTGGAGCAGCTGGAGCAGCATTATCACCAGAGAGTAAATATTTGAAAACTTGTGATGGAGAGTCACCAGCTTTAACTCTATAGTCAGCAATTCTATATATTTGATAACCGGCAACACCCCCGAGGAAGAAGTTGACAGACGCTAATAACGCATTACGAGGTTTAATAACAAATCCTGCCCATCTAGTCCAAATAGCACCAGTACAGAATAAAGCAATTTGTTGAGTTCCGGAAATCTTTTCAACTGGTCTTTGTAAATCATTGAAACCTGCAATAACTAAACACCATTTTAAAACTGGTGCCCAAAAATGAACGGTTTTTGGACCAGTTTCACTGTTCATGTAACGGGCAAACTTTGATGCATGCTGAGCTGAGGCGGCCATCTTTCAATTGTCTTTGGAGTAAAGTATTTTAGATTTGTAATGTAATTAAACAATTGTCTGTTGGTTCTTTTAGCTCTCTCTTTGGGTTTTTTTTTTTGGTTCGGGCCGCACTATCCCTTTTATTGTGTCTAAATCAAATTTTGTTTGTAGTGAGACCGTTCTTACAAAGTATGGAGTATGGAGTAAACTCGACAAGTCCGGCTTACTGGATTACTATACACCGTAGACATTTATTAGGTTCGGAGACGAGATTATTGGATGGGGTTGTATTGCTACTTAACAGTTTTGTAATTATATAAAGCCACCTTGTTTGCAAAGGGAGTAAAAAATACCATTTTGATTTTGCAACAAGTTTTGCGGCGAATCGAATTCCTTGACTTCTCCATGGTCCAAGGTAAGTATACGGTCACATTGCATGACAGTGTCAAGTCTGTGAGCAATGGCAATGACGGTTTTATGCTTGAACTCGTGTCTGATGGTTTCTTGGATGATTTTATCTGTTTGAGCATCGACTGCAGCAGTGGCTTCATCGAGAACCAAGATATTGGAAGTGCTTAATAAAGCTCTGGCAAGACAAATCAATTGTCTTTGACCAGCAGAGAAATTGGATCCTCCTTCTGAGACGTGGGAGTCTAGTTTATCTGGGAGTTCGTCTCTGTCGGAGTCAAGGATGAAATATTTGAGATGAGAAAGTTCGAGTGCTTTCCAAACTTCTTCATCTGTGAAATAACCTAAAGGATTCAAATTTTGTCGAATAGTACCTTCAAACAATTGGGAATCTTGGGGGATGATGCTTAGATTATGACGCAAGTCGTATAAAAGAAGCGTGGTGGTATCTATTTCGTCGATGATAATATTCCCATTCACTGGTTGGATCATACGGAATAATGCAAGGGTGAGTGAACTCTTACCAGCACCGGTTCTACCAACAACTCCAATTTTTTCTCCCAGTTTAATCGAAAAAGTAATATTCTTCAAAACTAAATCAAGATTCTCGGCATATCTAGTAGAGTAATCTTTAAATTCAATTGTTCCTGATGATGGCCAAGTAATAGGTGGTTTTATTAGCCTCAATGAATCTTCATCTTCTTCAAGAGGTAATTCCCAATATTCTAAGCACCTTTCTACCGCGACAACGTTTGACTCAACATCTGCTGATACTCTTACTAAAGCATTTAATGTACTAGTAATTTGTAATGCATAACTCATAACAAAACCTGCCATACCAGCTGATAAAGGTCTACTGGTAGTGAAACTGAAAATAGCCAAGGTTGCTGCACTTAGAACAGTTATGGCACCTATAAATCCCAATCTTACTGCTAGCCATCTATTGACATATCTCATCATGAAAAGACTTTTTAAATTGAAGTCAATATTTCCATGGTTGATATATTCAAATCTATTGATTTGGTCATAGGCTATAATAGTATCAACACCATTCAAACTTTCTTGTAAATGGGCAAATATTGGTGATCTTGACACTGACAACATTCTCTTCAATTCTCTAGAAATTGATACATAAAATCGTTGATAGTACATATAAATCAATGATAACACGAGCATTATGATCATGAAAGGTGGTAAAGATGCTGAAACAATGGCTAAATTAACAACTGACTTGACCAAGTATTTGAAAAACAGGCTAAACACCCGTGGTAATGTTTCATCAACTTTTGAAATGTCATTAGTAAATCGATTCATTATCCTTCCAACGGGGGTTCTTTCGAAAAAATTCATTGGAGCTTTGATTATTCTCTTCACCATTTTTTCATGAATATTTTTGGAACCTTTTATTCCAACATAAGAATTCATCACAAGAGACCTAAGGGTCATCAATATTGCAACTGAGATACCTAGACCAAAGTATTCTAAACTGAAACTTAAAGCATTTTTATTATCACCATTCCTTAAATTTTCTTCGGCCCATATTTTCAAAAAATACGTCTTTATAATACCTGAAACTGATGACATTATTGATATGACAAGAAACATTACGCAACCGGTAATAGAGCATGCTTTGGCATAATTATAGTACACACTCCATTTAACTTTACCTTTGGAAGAAATTTCTTTTAATGGTCCTGTTTTCAATGTTGGAATTGTCTCTTTAAAAGGATCATAATGAAAGGTTGCAATACTAGCCCTGCGATGGCTGTCAACAGATTTAACTACAGAAAACGACAGAACTTCTTCATCCCCCTCAGTTTCATTATCTTTAGTAGCAAACATTTGAGAACCTTCAACTGATTTCTTATCCAGGTATTCCGGGGAATCTTCCCTCGAAACATTGGCGGATTCATTTGGGGTATCTCTTTTACCAAATTCGCTCAATAATTCATATAATTTTGGATTTTTGATCTCATCGTAAGCCTCGTCAATGGTACCACGTTCAATTATTTTACCTGATTCAATAAGATAGGTGTAGTGGGCATAGTTCAAAACGGAAAGTGAGTTAGTGGATAAAATAACTGTCTTCGTGGCTAATAAACCTTTATCACCCAAAACTTTTTCGATAATTTTCTTACCGACATGACTATCAACAGCACTTAAGACATCATCCAAGAGATAAATATCAGAACGAGCATAAACAGCCCTAGCGAGAGCAACACGGGCTTTTTGGCCCCCACTCAAAGAAATACCTTTTTCACCAACTTGAGTCTCGTCACCATCAGGTAATTGTTTTAAGTCTGGTAGTAATTGGCAAGCATCCAAAGTTAGATTATAGAATTTTTCATCGAATCTATGACCAAATAAAATATTATCTTTCACTGAAGAATTAGAGATCCAAGGCAGTTGAGCAGCATAAGCGATTGTACCATTAATTTGGCAGCTTGATTTATTTTCACCAGATCCAGGTGTTGGATAAAGCTGACCTAATAAGGCTAATAATAAGGATGATTTTCCGGATCCAACTTTACCAACGATGGTGATAAGTTCACCTTTACCAGCTTTAAAATCGATATTTTGCAAGGCATAATTAGAATTTGAATCATTAGATTTGGACCATAAAAACGATGTATTCAGAATCTTGAGTGACTCTTCGCCTAAATCTTTAGGGGTAGGGCCATATTCGATGAAATCCGTAGAAATCTCAGGGGCCATAAGAAATTGGCTTATTCTATCGAGACCAACTGAAGCTTCGACTAAAGAATTGAATAACACCGGCAATTCCAATAAAGGGTTTGATAACTTATCTAATAAAGCCATTGCAGGGAAAACCAAATCTGGAGTCATTGGAATAGATTCTAAAATTGTATAAGTTGCTAAAGTAGCTACACTTATCATGAGACTTAATATCGACCAAACAAGATTAGCAAATTGATAAGCAGTTTTAATTTTTCTCCAATTTTTCAATTCTTCATTATTTCTAACGTCGAGTAATCTGTTAACAAGAGGTTTTTCCCAAGCGTATAATTTTAAAGATTTTATTGAAGAAATAATTTCACTAATTAATTTTGTTCTTTTATCTTTGAAAGTCATTTGAGTTTTATTTAATTTTTTAACTCTTTTAACAATGAAGGTGTTAACAGGCATTGAAATCATGATAACGAATAAAGCGGCAAGTGAAGATTTTCCTAAAAGAACCCAAAGAGAAAATGTACAAACGACTAATTCGATGGGGGAAATGATCAAAAAACATACGTATTGGGCAACTTGTTGAAGTCTTGGAACGTCAACTGCAATCAAATTAATGATTGAGGCAGAAGGATGTTTTAATCTAGCTTCAGGAGATAATTTCAAACTTTTTTCATAAATCAAAGACAGTAAAGAAGATTTAATTGATAAACTAACATCTAAAAGTAATAAGTTAGATTTACTAACGACATAAATTTCAAAACAAGAATTGAGAAACATTAAAAATGCAATTGATAAACCTTGTAATAAAGGTAAACTTGGATTTTTTGATTTATCTGAAAAAAATTTAATTAATAAACGTAACAATTGAGGATTAATATATTCAACCATACTTTCAAAGAAACTGAACAAATAAGAATATAAAGCAATTGACCCGAAAGATTTGCATAGGGCCCATATGATTCTAGCCTTTGGATCTTTATTTGAATATTTCTGCCAGTTTTTTGATAATTTTAAAGCGAAAACATCGGTTGAAACTTTTGAAAGAGTCCCTGGCAAATCTTTTTCCAGTAAGGATTGTTTTTTGTAAGAGGAAACGATCATACTGGTTAACCAAGTGAAACTAATTTTTTCCAAGATGTGAGGTTTTGATAATTCAACTTCGAAATATTTCGAATAGTATAATTTGAGTTTATGACTTGGGCTCCACCAATTTTTAGAAGCTTCCATATATAAAATCGAACAAGCATTGAATAGGATCAAAACTTCAATTACTGTTGAATAATTCAGTTTGACCACCGGCCAAATAGTAGTATAATCTTGGAAAAAAAGAATTAACTGTAAAGCTATTAAACAAGGCCAGTATAAGAGAAGGATATTTGACGGTATTGGAGAGTGGCATGTTTCATAAATATGGATTGGTAAGATTATAAAAGTTAATACTGCAAAAGTTATTGCGAAAGATATGATTTTAGTATCGGAATAGCGGTGGTGAATATTGATTAAAGGTACTAGCCATAAATAAAGTAAGGATTGAAAAAAAACTAAATTAACTCGAATCCAATGGACTAGCCCGGTATTTTTGGGGGCTATTGAACCACCAACCTTAGTTTTCTTGAAAAAAATATGATTTAGCTCAAGCAACCCAAACAAAGCAAACCCGATTGAAAATGAACAAAATAAGTTCAGAATAAAGCACGGATTAAAAGCATTTTCGTAATCGGGGGCCAAAGGGTACTTGAAAGCCGAGATCCCACAGACAATCGAAGGATTTGTATCAAGCACCGACATTACCACAATCGAAGAAAGAACAATTCTAGTGAGCACCTTTGGTGAAAATGTCTGGTGAAAACGTCTTGATAAGCGATAGGCGATGATGTACTCTACTAACCTGCGATTTTTGCAAAGTGCACTTTATGTTAATTTGACCGAAGTTGATCTCTAGTTAATTTCATTGGAAATAACACTGTTTCGTTATCTAGTAGATTTATTTTTGCAACAATCAACAAGCTCCAACTGATAAAAGTAATGTTTCGCAAAGTGATGGATTGTTGTATTGTATTAATACGATTTTTACGATTTTAAATCAATTTTTGCACCAATTGTGAAAAATTCCTCTCACCTCCACAAAACAAATGTAAAGACAAAGCTATGAGTATCACTACGTTGGCCAGACCTAACCTTTCCAACCACTGTCTTTAGCTACAATGTTCCTTAGAAAAACTGAAAATAGACAAGTAGAAAATAGACACAGAATATAGACAAGTAGAAAATAGACACAGAATATAGACAAGTAGAATATAGACAAGTAGAATATAGACAAGTAGAAAATAGACAAGTAGAATATAGACAAGTAGAAAATAGACACAGAATATAGACAAGTAGAATATAGACACAGAAAATAGACAAGTAGAATATAGACAAGTAGAAAATAGACACAGAATATAGACAAGTAGAATATAGACACAGAAAATAGACACAGAAAACAGGTATACCCAGTTGCAGCCAATTAGAATAGACCATTATGTAAGTACATCACGTGCCACTAAACGTGACGTGCAGGTGACACATATAAAACACCCGCACCCCCAGCAGCTCCCCCCCTGGCGCTGGTCGGCACCGAGCGCCCGCCAGCCAATCAGCGCCGCCAGAATAAAATAACGGAAATTTTTCGGAGTTGCAAAACCATCACACAAAATTAAATCTGGAGAAGCAAAACAAAGAAGCCAAAAAAAAACACGGCCAGAAATCCGAGGGCATCTCCGGACGAACGAGTGCTTCAGCCAGGTTTCCAGTTGGCCATCATGGCTACAGTAGCTGGAGGGTGGTGGTGGTGTAGCTGGGTTGCAGTTACAGGGAAGCTCAACTGTAGTTTGACCGGCGTGCAATGGGTACATCCTGGCAAATCAGCCAACAGGCACTGGAAAAACTCCGGATAAGGGCGATTCCATGAAAACAAAACAATGCACCAGTATTATAAATTTGTCCCCTGTCATTGGCTGAAATCAAAGAAACCTGAATCGACATCCGAGCATTTTTGTCTTAGTGAAAACTTCCGTGAGTCCATACTAAACCCACTATTGCTGATGTTTAACAGTAAGCTTCGCATCGTAACACCAATGATCTTTTCCCGCTTTATATATCATTAAACTTGTTTCCTCCCTTTTTTTCTTCCACTTGAAATTTTTTTTTTTTTCCCTTCTTCTCTCCTTACTTTCTTAAGGTTATTTTAAATAATGTTATCTGCCTCAAGAATTGCTTCTAAGGCTGTTCCACGTTCTTCAGTTCGTGGTTTAGCTACTGCTGCTTTAACTAGAGATTCCAAAGTTAACCAAAATTTATTAGAAGATTTTTCATTTATTAATTATAAAAAAAATTTGGAAAATGTTGATATTGTTAAATCAAGATTAAATAGACCATTAACTTATGCTGAAAAGTTATTATATGGTCATTTGGATGATCCTCATGGACAAGCCATTGAAAGAGGGGTTTCTTATTTAAAATTAAGACCTGATCGTGTTGCTTGTCAAGATGCTACTGCTCAAATGGCTATTCTTCAATTTATGTCTGCTGGTATGCCCCAAGTTGCTACTCCTTCCACTGTTCATTGTGATCATTTAATTCAAGCTCAAATTGGTGGGGAAAAAGATTTAGCTAGAGCCATTGATTTAAATAAAGAAGTTTTTGATTTCTTATCAACTGCTTGTTCTAAATATAATTTGGGTTTCTGGAAACCTGGTTCTGGTATCATTCATCAAATTGTTTTGGAAAATTACGCTTTCCCAGGTGCTTTATTAATTGGTACCGATTCTCACACTCCAAACGCTGGTGGTTTGGGTCAATTGGCTATTGGTGTTGGTGGTGCTGATGCTGTTGATGTCATGGCTAACTTACCTTGGGAATTGAAAGCTCCAAAAATTATTGGTGTTAAATTAACCGGTAAAATGTCTGGTTGGACTTCTCCAAAAGATATTATCTTGAAATTAGCTGGTATCACTACCGTTAAAGGTGGTACTGGTTCTATTATCGAATATTTCGGTTCTGGTGTTGAAACTTTCTCTTGTACCGGTATGGGTACCATCTGTAATATGGGTGCTGAAATTGGTGCTACCACTTCTGTTTTCCCTTTCAACAAATCAATGGTTGATTATTTGAAAGCTACCAGAAGATCTCAAATTGCTGATTTTGCCTCCTTATATAAAGATGATTTCTTGGCTGCTGATGAAGGTTGTGAATATGATCAAGTTATTGAAATTGATTTAAACACTTTAGAACCTCACATTAACGGTCCTTTCACCCCAGATTTAGCTACTCCAGTCTCTAAAATGAGAGAAACCGCTATTGCTAATGGCTGGCCTTTGGATGTTAGAGTTGGTTTAATTGGTTCTTGTACCAACTCTTCTTATGAAGATATGACTAGAGCTGCTTCCATCATTAAAGATGCTGGTGCTCATGGCTTAAAAGCTAAATCCATCTATACCGTTTCTCCAGGTTCTGAACAAGTTAGAGCCACTATTGAAAGAGATGGTCAATTGAAAACTTTCCAAGATTTCGGTGGTGTTGTCATGGCTAATGCTTGTGGTCCATGTATTGGTCAATGGGATAGACAAGATATTAAAAAAGGTGACAAGAACACCATTGTCTCTTCTTTCAACAGAAATTTCACCTCTAGAAATGATGGTAACCCAGCTACTCACGCCTTTGTTGCTTCTCCTGAAATGACTACTGCTTACGCTATTTCTGGTGATTTAGGTTTCAACCCTCTTACTGATACTTTGAAAGATTCTGAAGGTAATGAATTCAAATTAAAAGAACCTTCTGGAATTGGTTTACCACCAAAAGGTTACGATGCCGGTGTTAACACTTATCAAGCTCCTCCAGCTGATAGATCTGGTGTTGAAGTTGTTATTGCTCCAACTTCTGACAGATTGCAAAAATTAAAACCTTTCAAAGCTTGGGATGGTAAAGATGCTGAAAGATTACCAATTTTAATTAAAGCCGTTGGTAAAACTACTACTGATCATATTTCTATGGCCGGTCCTTGGTTGAAATACCGTGGTCACTTGGAAAACATTTCTAACAATTATATGATTGGTGCTATTAACGCTGAAAATGGTGAAGCTAACAACGTTAAAAATCACTACACTGGTGAATACAAAGGTGTTCCAGACACCGCTGCTGATTACAGAGACGCTGGTCATAAATGGGTTGTTATTGGTGATGAAAATTTCGGTGAAGGTTCTTCAAGAGAACATGCTGCTTTGGAACCAAGATTCTTGGGTGGTTTCGCCATTATTACCAAATCTTTCGCTCGTATTCACGAAACTAACTTGAAGAAACAAGGTTTATTACCATTGAACTTCGTTAACGTTGCTGATTACGATAAAATTAACTTTGATGATGAAGTTGACATCTTAGGTTTAACCGAATTAGCCCCAGGTAAGAATGTTACCTTAAGAGTTCATCCTAAAGAAGGTGAAGCTTGGGAAGCTGAATTATCTCACACTTATAATGCTGAACAAATTGAATGGTTCATCCACGGTTCTGCTTTGAATAAGATGGCTGCTGTTGCTGCTGAAAAAGAATAAGTTAGTTTATAAATTTGGAGAGAATTTTTTTTTAAAAGCATAAAAAACTTTTTGAGGCTTAATAAAACTCTTATCTTTTTTACGACTAGTCAATTTTCCTTCTTATCTTGTTTTTTTTAGCAATTCCTGTCTTATTTATATATTCACATTACTATTTATTTATTTAATTTATCACATTAGGTGTTTTCGTTTCAAAAGTTTTATCGTAGTTTTTTCCGCAGTTATTGATTTCAATTTGCAACTTGTTACAAATAATAGACAATTTGAAAAGATACCGTACAAACTTTTCAAGCTAGTATACCGTAGTCCGCACTTCATTTGGACGTATACTTACCTCCTGTACTGTTTCTGGTAAATCTTGTTTCAATAATTGCACCAGTTCATAATTGAGGTGTGAGCCTTCAAGAAACTTGTTATTTCGATCATCAACATAATCTTCATTGAAATTTTGAAAAATTTCTTCATCAATACACTCGTCATCCACATAAATCGAGCCTTGGAAAAGCCCATCGGTGACCGATATTTCTTTTAAGTTCGAAGGCCACAGTTTACCTAATTCGAAATCATCAAGAAACGATTTGGAAAATTTTCCAAAAGAAAGATCAACTATTTCTAATGAGTCGGGAAGTGAGCTTAGTTTAACATTCGATGCCCTACAGAAAATTGATAAACACTTTAATTCACTCGGAAGATTAATCAAATCAATGTTTTTGCTGTAAATCCTGGCAGAATTCTTATAATCTTCTGATTTCGGTTCATTATCGTCGACGTTTATTATTGAAGTATCGTAAAATGCAAGTTTTGTTAAAGTCGAAGGTAATGGAATTGCCGATAAATTTGTACAATATCCATCTTTAATATTGAGACTGTCCAAGTTTCTAAATTTCATTAATCCACCGTTAATTAATTCTTTTGAACATTCATTAATATTTTCAATTGTAAGTTGATGTATTCCAGGTAAAGTGGTAGTAATAAACCTAAGCTCTGCGTTCGTCAAAGCATGATCAAAATCTGCTTCCATACAAACTTTTTCTATCTTGCTAATGTAGACACTGTGGTTCGTTAATAATTCTTTGAATTCATTCAGACAAGAATTCCAGCCGATCAGGAGAACTAGAGGCTTTATATCATGAAGGGAGCACAATCTAAAGAATGTTTCAATGAACTTCAACCCAGAAATATAAGTCACTTGCATCGTTCGGCCAAGGTCTTCAAAGCGCCTGGTAAATGTATCATAGCGATTGGTAGTCCGAATATGATTTTCTATGCTGCATCCAATGTGGACTTCATTACTGAAGAGCATTTCTTGTACTGCTTCTCGAACAGTTGGATTAGGAGAGCTAAGAAATTGCAAAGCCGTGGATTCTGACAAGCATTTGATCTTTTTAATAATCGTTTCAGGGGAAAGATTTGCACTCAGTTCAACAGTGAAGTCTTCCATTTTGACAATGTAGGTTTACTTGGATAATTCTGTAGATTATCGTCTATATAAATATACCGAATGAGTCATTTAGCTTGATTAGGTGAGGCCACCACAAATGACTCATAAAATCTAAGAGTACTAGCTCAAATTGAGAGGGTATTGTCAGAAATAATCTAATTGAAGCAACTGCCTTATTAAGAAACTGTCCTTCCATTATGCAAGAATACTGTCTGAGTTAAGTATTTGAAGAACCAAATTGTTTTTGTTGCAAAACAACCTTTCCTAAAATCTTGAACCTGACTAAAATATATACATACCTTGAGTTGAATCGAATAGAAAGAACAACATAAAGTAGGTTTTAGTTTTCGTCCAATATGATTTTCTCTCAGCAATATATGTAATTAAAGTACGAACAATTTTGTGAACTATTTATACGAAAAACACGAAGTTTTCTACCATTAATCCGTCAATCAGAGTTCATAGAATAGTTTCGTAGCTAGTACCGCATGCGTTTAAATATATGAATTTGTTATTTAGATTCCTTAACATATGAATACTATGTCAAAAAAAATGAAAATATTATATTAGCACAGAAGAAACACACTCAACTCAAGAATTAACTACAGAACACAGTATCAAAGCTGCTAGGATTCAGACTGATGGCTTAAAATATCAATAAAACAAAAATTTGATTTCTGAAGAGCGTTTAAAAACTATTTAGATATATATCTGCATAGTTACCCACATGCAAATTTTGCTATGAAAGTGCCTGGTTAGCTCAATGGCTAGAGCGTGTGACTTTTAATCACAAGGTTGCGGGTTCGACCCCCGCATCGGGCTTTCTTTTTTGCAACTAAATTTCAGTGCTTTTTTTATATTTTAAATAACAATTCAAGTTCTTTGGCAATCAACTTCCAAGATTTTTATCAGTTAATAACAGTGGCATGAATAAGCATCCCTAAGCAAATGCTTATATTTCGAGCAAACACCCAGACAAATAGAGACAGTCAAAATTCAGATTCCCCAAATTCAAAATAACAGAAAAACAACGTTAAAGACATATCTCGTAAACATAGTTCGTATCTTCAAAGACTTATTAATTTCGTATTTAAAGCTGTCAACGCTGGAGGATGCTCCCCCAATTTATAAATTCCGTTTTTCAGCGAATCTGGAGATTAAAAATTTAGGGCGGAAATTTTAAGTTCCAGATACAATAAAAGAAGATGGGATAGACCTAACTTCCCATTTCCGGTTAGGACTTAACCTTGTTGAAACATTATTAAGATGACTAACAAACATATAGTTGCAGCCTTACAAATTGGAGCATCTCCAGAGGGTACACCGGCTACAATTGATAAGATTTTAAGCTATGAAAAGGAAATAGTTGACAAGAAGATCGAATTAGTCTGTATTCCAGAGGCAACAATTGGAGGTTATCCTAAAGGATCATCCTTTGGAACTCAGTTGGGTTATCGCTTACAATCGGGTAGAGAAGAGTTTGCTGAATATTTTAAGAATGCTATCAGTATCCCAGGTCCTGAAATAAAAGTATTGGAAGGTTTAAGTAAACGCACTGGAGCTATCATTTCTTCAGGAGCCATAGAGAAAGATGGCTCAACTTTATATTGTACTATGATTTATATTGATCCCAAATTAGGTTATATTGGAAAACATAGAAAACTTGTACCTACTGGATCTGAAAGACTTATCTGGGGTAGTGGAGATGGCTCTACATTATATACAACCAAGACAGACAAACTTGGAAACATTGGAGGAGCTATTTGTTGGGAAAATTTCATGCCATTATTAAGGGCATCATTCTATGCTAAAGATCTTAGTATTTATTTGGCACCAACTGTAGATGAAAGAGAAGTTTGGAGATCGTTAATTAAAACAATCGGGGTTGAAGGGAGATTATTTGCAATTTCTGCAGTACAATTTTTACCACCAGCTGATCAAATTGGTTTAAATTTGCCAGAATGGGAGCCAACCAGAAATGTAATTAATGGGGGATCAATTATAGTTAATCCTTATGGAGATATTATAGCAGGCCCATTATTAGGAAAAGAAGGAATTTTAAGTACCGAAATTGATTTGGATATTTTGATTGAAGCTAGATACGATCTTGATTTAAATGGTCATTATTCTAGAAATGACATATTTCAATTACATGTCGATGAAACCGAGAGAAAGGGAGTCATTTTCAAGTAGTAATGCTACAGTATATTATGTTATAGACAAAAAAATACATATATTTAACAAACCAAATAAATCAATAAGAAGAAATAAAGTTAATCAGGGTTTATGGATGTAATCCATTAATTCATGTAAAACGTTTTCCAAACTCGAGTAAAAAGCACAATAATCATTAATATCAACAAAATTATTTCTCAAATCATAATAGATTTTTTCATTCATTTGTAATAATTCCAGCTTAGTAGTAAAATCAAGTTCATCATTTTTCAAATCATCTTGTAAAAGGCGGTTTGAAAACAATGATTGATTTAAAGAACTATTTGAATCAAAATCATTTTTAGATAAATCGTCATTTTGAAAATCGAGTAAAGGAGGGATTTCATTCATTGAAGCATCATCATATTTTATTGGGCCCAAATTAATACCGTTATTCATCAAAATAGGTTGAGGGACATCCATGACATTAAATAATTCACTCATATTCATATAGCTAGTCACTTGATAATCGAAAAATTCAATCTTATTATTTGAAAGATTTTTATTATTTAATTGATTATAATGATTAATTGATTTAATGATATTATATTTTTTCAAAATATATTGCCAAGTTAAATTTGTTAAACTTAACATTCTTTTATATTTTTCATTTTTAAACCATTTTCTATTCAAAATGAAAAGGGCTTTATTAATTAATTTAACATAAATGATTAATTCATTTATGGTCATGAATTCATATTTGAATTTAACACAAATGATGATAAATAATAAAATGATTGAATCTAAAGGAATTGTTCTTTTAACGTACCAATTAAATTTACCAAATTTGATAAAATCATTATATTTCAAGAAATCGTTTAAATTATGAAGAATTGAAGGAATCAAGTTATTGTGTAAATTTTCATAAGTAAAATTTTCGTATTGATTGAATCTTAATTGAGAAATTGAAGAATTATCGAAATTTTTAATTATGTTTGATTCTTCTAAATTACCAAAAGTATCTTCAAATTTATTAAAAGAAAGGGAGTTTTTCAGTTTTGAATCTTTTAAATCAATTTTAAAATCTTTATCCTTATTTGAATCTCTCATTAAGATTTTTTTATGTAATAACATAAGAGATCTATCAACAAAACTCCAAGAATGATTTTTAATAAAGTTTATTAAATTCATTTCTTGAACAGTTTGAGGAGGATTAACTTTATAATGATTTGACATTTTAACGATTGATTGGTGAATAAAATGAAATAGATCAATAATCATTGATTTAATATGATTAATTTCATCACTAGTAATGTTATTTGAAAAGCCATTATGCAATTGATAAACCAATTCACTTAATATTCGATCGAATTTAAATTTAACATTCATTGATAACATTGTTATATCCAATTTTTTATTAATACACATCCCTGATTCATTATAAACTGGATCTTCATCATCAGGTAATAAAACATTAAAATCATCAAATTTACAAACTGGAGGTAAACAAAAATTATGAGAAGTTAAAGCATCCAAGCCAAATATAACCCACCAGATTAATCTTCTAAATTTAATAACTTCCCAATCATTAATTCTTAGTGAATTTATTGGATCTTTATGCATTTGCAAAAATTTGGCATATCTAATAATATGAGACATTTCCATTGTTGAAGGGTTTGGCGAAGTTGATTGAATAATAACATTACCCAATAAGAGAGGAATTGTTTTCAAGCCATGAGGATAATTAAAATATTGACAGATTTTATTAAAACCTTTTAAATATTTATTAATATCTTGATTTAATAATAAATTATCATATTCTTCGAATTCTGATATTGTGGAGGCGTATAAAATTGGGAAATATAACGTATAAAATTGTAAATAATCAAAATTTTTCTTTAAATTATCATCATCATCAAGATTTAATTGAATATTCCAATAATTGTCATGTTCTTTAATGAAATCATCTAATTTTATCATTATTGGTAATAAGATATGAACCGAGTTTATATATCGATTTAATAATTCATATGATCTTTCTTTTGTTTGGGGTAAGTGATTTAATAAATCATTTAATAAATTATCATTATCATAGTAGGTATTTGTACCATAAAGATAATTAGTTGTAGTTGCTGGGTTTGAAGAATAAGCGTTTAATGAATTATGTAAGCCGGGGTTATTTGGTTGGTGATTTGAAGTGGATGCCGGTATGTTATCTAAGAAGTTTGTTGGTTGAGATCTAATAAATAAAGAGTTGATATTCGTGGACGAGTTATTGTTGGATTTATTAGGAGAATTCGAGTATGTTTCTCCGGTGTATGTGAATGATGATAAGTTAAAAGAGTATTCTTCATTTTCTTGTGGATGCTGTTGTTGTTGCGGTTGTTGTAATGGTTGTTGTAATTGTTGTTGTTGTTGCTGGGGCGCCGGTTGCAGCAGTTGATTATTTGAGTAATTTGTATTGAAAAAGTTATTGGTAATGTTATTACTTAAGGTATTCAATACCGGAGTTTGTAATAAACTGGTAGTGCCAAAGTTGACTGGAATTGGAGTTGAACCATTGGAGCTTGAAACGTTTGAATGGGATTTATAATTATTTAAAGATAAATCCGGTAATAATTTTTTATCGATCGAAGAATCATCGGTGGTGACCGATTCAATAAGTTTAGGAGATATTGGAGAATGATTTGAGTTAGTGTTGGAAGATATCGAAGATCTTTTTTCAAGATCGTCATCATAAGTTTTCTTTTGGTTATTTTTTGCCGATTTTTTACCACCTCTACTCACCCGTTCATTAATGAAATATTTACATTCAATACCTAATTTTTCACAGTTATTACATATTGGATGAGATCTTGAACACTTGATTTTCTTGGAGTGACAATAAACACAACTCAAGATCTTACGTTGTCTTGTTTTCTGGACCTTCATAACTTTCCCGTCGGCCAAAATTTTCATATTTTCATGTTTCTCCTTTTCACTCTTTAGGCTAGTGGTGCTGGCGGCCCCGCCGCCAGTATCACCGGTACCCATCGCGGCAGCAGCATCGTCAAGACCCTCAGCAACAGTAGCAACACCATCACCGACGTCTACTCCGGCACCGACTCCGTCTTTCGACATATTAATCGAATCCAAATGGTCGGAGATTAAGGGCGAAGCCAATCCACCTAAAGCCAGCTCATTCAAATGATCAACTTCCATCATATTCAGAGATCACCGTATAACGCAAAGATAATAAGAATCCGTAAAGCTAATGAAAAGGTTAATGAAAAGATGAAGATAAATAAAACAAGCAAAACAGATACAAATACAAAAGAAAAAAAAAAAAAAAAAAAAAAAAAAAACGAAGAGAAATATGGGGTTTTTGAACTTAACTGCGTGACACTTACTTCACCAGGTTTACATACAATACGGAGGAGCAGCACATCCAATTACACCTCCCCATGGCACCCGCGGGGTTAAGCACTTCTACCTGCCCATACTAACCACTGGTCCAAACCTATTGCATACTACTAGAAATCAAATCGTACCCTTATAAAAGCAGCTTGGGTGGTCGGAATTTAGAAATGGAGTTAGAAAAAAACACTTGGAGGGCGCTTACGTAAGTGATTATGTAAGTGGTTACGTAAGTGACGATGAACAAAAAAATCGCACTTTAATACCCGACGCCCGTACACCGAACAACTTGTGCCCTCCACGCACTCTGGGTCCACGCACGCCCATATTCGTAATTTTCACTATTCTATTAACGTGTAAGCGTATTATTGGTAAGTACGCGTAGATTTATCACTGTAAGGCTTTTTTGTCTTCACTACTTAATAATCTAAGAGACTTATTACATCCTATTACAGTAGGTATGATAAATGGTTTACTTTCGATCTCAACAACGCTTAGGGATAATCCAAACACTTAAATATAAGCAAAGATATATTCTAATCAAATAGTAATTAAATTGGCTGTAACGTATATCTAGAAGAATAAAAGGTTCTAATAAAACAGTATACTAATAAAACAGTATACTAATAAAACAGTATACTAATAAAACAGTTCTATGTAGTGGATTAACGAAAAGAAAAGACTAGGTGCCTGGTGTACGGAGGCGCACCCCGTCCAGTTGGAGTGCCGGGACCACTCCTCTGGGGTTATTCTACAATCTATATGTATTTGAGTACTTCGCTGACAACGTATTCAGCTATGTTTTGAATGTCTGAGCTTCTAATAGGGTATGGATTGTCGCGTTCCAAAAGGGTTATAAAGGCTCTTGTCATGGGTGAATTACTAGCACTTTGGCAGCAGTTATATTCTTTATTATATGAATTACTTATATAGATAAGCTTTCGATTGATGCTGGCCGCGGTCCGACTATAGAACTCGAGGATACTGCAGTTGCAATAATCTTGATTGTTAATGAAGACCTTGTCATAGCTCAAATCTGGCTTTGATGCTTTCAACAAGGAAAGTGTACTGCAAGAAGAATACTATGTAATATCAAGTTGCTGGAGCTCTTTAAAAAGCGGCTAGGATTTGGGCGTATGTGAGAATGGAAAACTTGAAGCGCTTTGAATTGTTTTATAGAGCACCAATACATGGCGCTTAACACCAGCCGATTATGAAGCCGTGATTGGGAGAACTACGGCTATTGGGTTAAAAGCATTTCTCTAAATAGAAGTCCAGTAAAAATACACAACGCATGGTCTACTTGCAGCGATTCACGATTTTTTTGAATAGAACGTTCTCAAGGCTATACCAATGAGTTCAGGAGCTTACCACCAGGCATCTTGGCAGGCTTTAATTTGGTGTTCAATTATCATAGGGTATAGGTGAATTTTGCAACCTAAATGTACGGGTTTCCCACCGGGGAGAGGGTCGTGTCTCCCCCCACCACCCACTTTTAGAGTGTGCTGTCCATACAAAAAAAATCAAAACATTTTTCAGTTAAGTCAAATCACCAATAGTTTAAATTAATATAATCAAACTTATAATGGATTTTGAAGAAATTGAAGATATTAATGGGATTCGTTTGGCTTGGAATACGTTCCCCTCCACCAAGGCCGAAGCCCAAAAAATCGTGGTACCCACTGGGGCATTATACACTCCTTTAAAATATAGAGAAGATTTACCTCTTGCATCCTATGATCCAGTATGGTGTTCTAATCCTTCTTGTAAAAGTATTTTAAATCCTTATTGTCGAGTTGATATGACTGGGTTCTGGTTCTGTCCAATTTGTAATCATCGTAATCCATTACCTCCACATTATTCTGGTATCAATGCTGAAAATATGCCTTTAGAATTACAACCAACTTCTTCTACAATTGAATATATTACTGCTAGACCAGTTCAACAACCTCCGGTTTTCTGTCTTGTTATTGACTTATGCCAAGATGATGATAACTTAAAAGCTTTAAAAGATACTTTAATTGTTTCTTTATCTCTTTTACCTCCAAACGCTTTAGTTGGTTTAATTACTTATGGTACTATGGTTCAAGTTCATGATTTAGGTTCGGAATCAATTAAAAAATCTTATATCTTCAGAGGTGATAAAGAATATAACGATAAACAAATTGGTGATATGTTAAATAATCCAATTTTAACTAATGATGGTAGACCAGCAATTATAAATAATTTAAGTCGTTTTTTCTTGCCAGTGGAAGATATAGAATTCCAATTAACTTCAATTTTAGAAAATTTAACTCCTGATCCTTGGCCAGTGGCTCATGGTGACAGACCTTTAAGATCAACTGGTTCTGCTCTTAATATTGCAATTAATTTATTAGGCCAAACTTTTATCGGATTAGGGGCTAGAATCATGTTATTTTCTGCCGGTTTATGTACTTTAAATCCAGGTTTAATCGTTGGTAATAAATTAAAGGAACCAATCAGATCTCACTCGGATATCGATAAAGATAATGCTAAACATTTCAAAAAAGCAATCAAATTCTACGATCAATTGGCTTTGAAAGCAGTTAAAAACTCTCATACTATTGATGTTTTCGGTGGTTGTTTGGATCAAATTGGTATGTTAGAAATGAAAAACTTAACTAATTTGACCGGTGGTACTTTATTATTATCTGATGCTTTTACTACTTCGATCTTTAAACAATCATTTTTAAGATTATTTAATAAAGATAGTGAAGGTTACTTATTAATGGGTTTCAATGGTACTTTTGATATCAAAACTTCAAGAGAATTGAAAGTTAGTGGTTTAATTGGTCACGCTTCTTCCTTAAACGTTAAAGGTCCAAATGTTTCTGAAAATGAAGTTGGTATTGGTGGTACTAATCAATATAGATTATGTTCAATTTCTCCCCAACATACTTATGCGGTATTTTTCGATATTGCTAATACTCAATCTTTACCAAATAATGCTCAATCTTATATTCAATTTATTACTCATTATCAACATTCTTCAGGTACTTATAGATTAAGAGTTACTACCATTTCTAATATTCTTACTTCTGATGAACAAATTTTAACTCAATCTTTTGACCAAGAAGCCGCCGCTGTTTTAATGGCTAGAGTTACTCTCTTTAAATCAGAACAAGATGATGGTGCGGATGTTTTAAGATGGATTGATCGTATGTTAATTAAATTATGTCAAAAATTCGCTGATTATAGAAAAGATTTAGAAGAATCTTTTAGATTAGGTCCTCAATTTTCTTTATACCCTCAATTTATTTATTATTTAAGAAGATCCCAATTTTTACAAGTTTTCAATAATTCTCCTGATGAAACTGCTTTTTATAGACATGTTTTGTTAACTGAAGACACTAATAATTCATTAATTATGATTCAACCAACTTTAACTGCTTTTGAATTAGATAAAGAACCCGAAGCAGTATTATTGGATTCAGTCTCAATCAAAAATGATCGTATCCTTTTATTAGATACTTTCTTCCATATTTTGATCTATCATGGTAAAACAATTGCTGAATGGCGTAAAGCTGGTTATCAAGATTTACCAGAATATGAAAATTTAAAACAATTATTACAAGAACCAAAACAAGAAGCCGCTGACTTATTAGTTGATCGTTATCCTTTACCAAGATTTATCGATACTGAAGAAGGTGGTTCTCAAGCTAGATTTTTATATTCTAAATTAAATCCAAGTACTAGTTATAACGCTGCTAATATTGGTGTCAATGGTGCTGTTGTCTTGACTGATGATGTTTCATTACAAATTTTCATGACTCATTTACAAAAATTGGTTGTTTCTGGTTCTAACTAATCTATTTTTAAGTAAATGAATTCCTTTATTTCATATGTCTTGTCTCATCTTTATTATTATTTACTTCTTCCATCACCCCTTTTTAACCCGAAAATATAATGTACTACTTTAATTTCTGCTTGTTCTTCTGTATGTAGCTTTCATCTTGTATAGCCTATAAAAGTTTTTACCATTTTATCATGTAAACTGAATCAGAGATTCTTTATGTTTTTTTGTCGATTATTTCGCTGAGGAACTACTTCGACCGACTGAAAAAAAAAGAAAATAAGTCCCCATCAACAGACCTAAGAACGGCTAAAAGCACCAAAAGTAAACAATATCTCGAGTTTTTCTATAATCAGATATGAGTAACGAGAAGCTTACAGCGGGTATGTCGTAATTACTCGAAATAAATCAGTGTCATTTGAATTATATACTAACTATTCAAAGACGAAATCGCCTTATATGATAGACAAATTAGATTGTGGGGGATGGCAACCCAACTTAGATTAAGATCAGCTAAAATCTTAATTATCAATTTAGGAGCAGTAGGCTGTGAAATTGTTAAAAACTTGGTTTTGGGTGGTTTGAATACAATTGAAATCTTAGACAATTCCAAAATTCAAGAAGAAGATTATGCAGCACAATTTTTTTTACCAAATGATGACAGTTTAATCGGACAAACCAAATTACCTCATGTGATTCCTCAAATCAAAGATTTAAATAAAAGAGTCAATTTAACTAGCAATACTGATGATTTCAATGACTACCTTAGCAAGGATGACCATGATTTTTTTAAGAAATTCGACTTGATAATTGCTACAGAACTTTCTAAAGATCACATCTTCAAGCTCAATAAGATAACTCGAGATTTAAAGATACCTTTATACGTGACAGGTTTACACGGAATGTTTGGTTATATATTAACTGATTTGATAGAACACAAATCTATATCCGAGAAGGATCTTGGTAACCAGCCAAGACAATCAAACACACAGATTAATAGAGTCAAATCAATAACTAATGTTGAACTAGTGGAGAGTGAAAACAAGGAAGTGGTCACCATAGTTGATAAGTTTGTGCCTCTTGACAATATTTTCAAATCAAAAGAACTACCTTCCCAATTGAATAAACGTCAATTGAAAAGATTAACAGCTGCATTTCCTCTCATTTTTTCACTTTTTGAATTTCAACGTCATTTGAATCCTGAAGATACTATTGATTTCTCTAAACTTCAAGAAAAAGGGAAAGAGATATGTGAATCCTTCGATATTCCATTATCAGTTCTAACCGACGAATATCTCGAATATTTCAGCAACCAAGCATTTACTGAATTTGCACCAGTCTCAGCTATATTGGGAGGGTGTTTAGCACAAGATGTTATACAATTTTTAAGTAAGAAGGATAGTCCCATTAATAACTGTTTAATTCTTGACGCCATAAAATCCGAAATGCCTATTTACCTGTTATAATTATTGTTTAAAAAATTTAACGAAATGAATATATATTTTAACACCTATGTAAACTATTTCGAATTAGGGGTAGCCCCTCTACCTTTCCTCTTTTTGAGATGGGACGTATCCCTTAAGAACTTTAATGATTTACCCAATTTTTTCTTTAATGCATCGTCTTTTTCTTTAGCAAGTTCAATCTTATCTAGTAAGTTTTGCCTTTGTTTTTTGAATTTTTTATTGTCTTCATTAGTTTCAAAAGCGGTTTCAATTTTGCGTTTCAAATCTTTAATATCATCAACAGTTTGTTTTATTTCTTTATTAGAATCTTCTATAGATTTAGCGGCATTTTGATATTCGGTGGTCATATAAGCATTTTCTTCATTTTTAGATTTAACCTTCAGTAGAGTATCGCCTATTTGTTTCCTGAGTTCCCAGATTTTGAATTGCTTTTCAACAAACTGTTTTTGTTTTTCATCATCGATGTTTTGCTCTTTTATGAAGGACTCTAGAGCAGTTTGTACTTCGGCATTTTTCTGTTTTATTTCTTCAATTTTTTCAGTCTTTCTTAAAAATTGTTTTTCAGCAAAATCTATTCTATGCTGAGTATGATCAATATCATCGCAGATTTTACTTAAAGTCATGTTATATTCTTTTTCACGTCTTCCAAACTTATCTTGTCTTTCATTATCATTAAATTGTAAATGTGCCTGATGTTCCAGATTAACTATATCTAAATTTTTATAGGCATTATTGAGTTGCATTATTAAACGATGGGTCAATATACTTTTATTAATTTCGGTTCGTTGAGTGGACTTCGTGCTATTATCATTAGAGTATATTCCAATCAAAGTATTAAAATCATTTTTCAAAGGATTGGTAACATAGTCCAGTTCTAATCTTTTCAGTTCATAATAAGATTTTTTAGTTGGTTTTTTAGAAGTGGAAACATAATCAATAACATTATCGGTAGAATCATAAGGAGTATAATGGAAATGAACTTCAGTTAGTAAAGATCTTTCAACGTCAGTTGAGTTAAACTTTGGAATAGTTGGTAATTCAGGAAGGGGCCAAGCAGGAAATCTGGGCCCGCTTCTACTTCCAGTTTTAAATAATTGATCGAAAAAATTTTGAGATAAGTATTGCAAGTTTTGATTATAGATTGGAATGATATCAGGAGGTAAGTTACCAATTTGATCTCGTAAGCAAACAATCGAAGAAATCAACTTATATAAATAATTTTTTTCATGCTTTTGTTTAGAATAGAATAATTGGCAGTGTTCTATTGTTCTCATAGGGATGAGTCTTATAATGATAGCTTCACCTCTTCTATTTTGGGTTCTCAATTGATTAAAGAAGTCACTTTGGGTATCCACCGTGCCATCGAAAACAATTAAAATATCAAACTTTGTTTGTAAAAGAACATCTTCATACTTTGCCAACTTCCCGTCTTGAGGAATCAAATGAATATTTGTTGGTTGGATATCATGGCCGTTTGCATGATGGTTATGTTTATTTGCTTTGGTAGACTCTTTTCTAACATGATTCCCAACATATCTTTTAATTGATTTATTACCTTTGCAACCCAATAAAAGAGCTTCGGTTAAATCAAAAAATCTTGGAAGATTCTTCATAACTATACCAACGTTTTTGGTACTCTTGGAACTTGCATTTTGAGTTATCACATTCATCAAATCTCTTAATACATTGAACTTCCCGCTAGTATCTGCTAATTTACTAGACATATCTTTCAGTGCTAAATTCTTTGGCATATAATGATTGATTAATAGATAAGGATGCGTGCTTACCATCATACAATTCTCTATACAGATCTCCAAAGACTTGATAATAAGCTCTTTGGTGTCATTGGTCTCACAATACTTCAATATGTCTGGATAATGCAATGAAACTATTTGATCAGTAAGTTCTTTTTGAAATTCGTACATTGGGGTTGGCAAGTCGTACTCACCGCTTTCGTTCACATTCTCAAGATGTAAATCTATAATGGGTGGCTCTGGGGTCCCGTCCAATATACTGAGAAGATTCATTTCAAGGTTTAATTAGCTAATCCAACTTATTGGCTGTAAAAGAAGTCTTTTTAATGCCCTTTCACCTTTTTTTTTTTTTTTTTTCATAATGCAGACGAAGAATAAACAAATCAGATTTTGGCGCACTTGAGCTTGTTTTCTCACTGATTAACGACTTACGACTAATTTTTTGGAACCAAACGGTGGTTTTACATGTTGGCTTTTTGCAGTCTTTTAATAGCATTAGATATGTACAGTTTTTAAGTATATGGAAGTTTTGATGGGATCAGGGTCCACTCCAGAGCTTGACACTTCTGTCCCATCCACAGCTGACGATGGAATCCCCGTTTGGGCTTATGTCACAGCTCATGATTTTATCATTGTGGCCCTGTAACGACTTTTGTTTCACCCAGTTATCAGCCGACCAAATATTGATTGTATTGTCGTAGGAAGAAGTAATAAGGTAGGACGAGTCACGGTCCAAGTCACGAGAGGCTTCTTTTTGGTGGTAAAACCTTACTTCGCTCACAAGTTTATTATGAGCAGGGATTGAGAACAGCTCTTTGCTTGATAACTTTCTCAAATCCCAAATTTTCACAGAGCAATCGCCACTGGCGGTGGCTAGGTGGTACCCGTTGTTTGACCAGTCCATACTGTAGATACCCTTTATGTGACTTTGTAATAAGGCAATGGACCTGCCTGATCTCAAGTCCCAGATTCTTCCAATGGCATCAAGTCCACCAGTGGCTAGTAGACTGCCATCGGGATGGAACGAAGCAGCAAAGAGCTCTTTTGAATGGCCCTCTTGTTCAACAAGCTCGGATTCTGGCCGGCGAGGATCCCAAAGTTTCCATGTTTGGTCGAAAGACGTCGAGGCAATGTAATCGCCTGAAGGATGGTATAAAGTTTTCGTTATACGGTTTGAGTGGGCCTGTTTGATGCTGTTGGTTGGAGACAACTTGTCCTTTTCCGTGTCAATGTTCCAGAAATTGATACAACCCTCGTTACCACCAGACACTAGTATGTTTTCGTCACCAATAGGTTTCCAGTCTATACCACTAACTTTTTCAGTATGAAAACCCGATAACAGACTCTTCTCTAGTTTCAAATCAGTGCTGTTGAGAAAATAGACATTCCCGTCCCATGACCCACACCCGATGAGTGTGCCATTATTATTGAATCTAGTAGCAGATAATGCTCTGGTATTGCCAGGGATTAATTGGGTACCGTATAGTTCGATTTGTGATAAGTCAGCATTGATACTTCTTCGAGCCTTCAATATCTGTGTAAAATCTTGTTTCTTTGACCTCTCTTTCTGAGCTTGAAGCCTCTTGTCGGCTCTCTCCAAAGAATATGATAATATCTTAAGACGTGCTTGGTATAACTCGTCGGACCCTGGGGTGTAGAATTCTTCTTCGTCGTCTTCGTCGTCTCCCTCATCGTCTTCCATGTCTTGGTCTGAGGATACAATCTGGTCCTGTCGACTTTCGTCTATTATCTTCTGCAATCTGGTTCTTCTTTCATCTTTAGTTTCATTTAAAAGAGTCGTTGGTTGGTTGCGTTTTGTCAACTCTACTTTTACATCATCATCTGACAACTGAACTCCATTATTAATCAAACCGTACCCTTGTTTAGGATCGTTCACTATCGGTATCTCATTCAACTCCATTATACAGTGTACTTTTAACTGGTCAAGATGAGATATTTGTCTTCGCTTTTACATTTCTCATTGAAAAAAACATTGAGATACTACAAACAACAACAAAAATTGTAAGTCAAGCCTACGAACATAATCTTACAATGGTCTTATGCTCAATGCTAGTATTTCATAAATGCCAATTCGAAGGAAACCACTATACTTTTTTTTAAAAAAAAGCACCATAATACAAAAAAAAAAGTGGTGCCTACATCCCAAAGTGCATATATGAAGTAACTTATACAAGAGAGAAACGTGATTTAGTGGTTGAAGTGGTTGAACAAACCGTTCAATTCGAACACTGAACCATATCTAGTCTCGGTTCGGGTGCCGGCAGAAAGGTATGGTGTTCCTGGAACCATTTCAGCTGTCAATTCCTTATTTTTCTGTTATATGTTTGCAGTTGAAGCCACAGTCGACCTTTTTCGCAATCACTCTTGTCTTTACTATAAATTGGGGATAATGTCAATTCTTAAACTGGACTGCCAGGACTTCATCCTAGAAGCAACATGCCAGAACCAAAATCGAAACAAAGAAAGGTGGAAAACAAGCCAAAGAAAAAAATTCTTATCAATGCCTTTGATATGGGATGTCCAGGTCTTCAATGCCCAGGTCTTTGGAAACACCCAAAGGACAAGTCGAGAAACTATAATACAATTGAGTACTGGACCAATCTTGCTAAAACTTTGGAAAGAGGCAAGTTCAATGCTCTTTTCATTGCAGATGTTTTGGGTGGTTACGACGTTTTTAACGGTCCTCAGAACTTAACTGCGGCTGCTAAATCTGGAGCTCAATGGCCAATCAATGAACCAAGTGCTGTTGTGTCTGCAATGGCTGCTGTTACCAAGAACCTATCATTCGCGATTACTTTCAGTACCATTAGTGAAGCACCTTACCATTTTGCCAGAAGACTAGCCACTCTAGACCACTTGACAAATGGTCGAGTTGGATGGAATGTCGTTTCTTCTTACTTGGATAGTGCTGCAAGAAATTTATTGAATAACCAACCACTCCCACCGCATACAGAAAGATATGAGAGAGCCCAGGAATATATAGAGATCATATATGACTTGTTCTTATCTTCTTGGAGTGATGATGCTATTAAAGTTGATCCGAAAACGGGTGTTTTTGCTGATGCAGAAAGAATTAGACAAATAAACTACGAAGGAAAGCACTTCAACGTGCCAGGACCTTCCATTACTGAACCAACTCCGCAAAGATTACCGGTAATCTTGCAAGCAGGTACTTCAAAGCAAGGTACTGAATTTGCTGCTAGAAATGCTGAAGCTGTTTTTGTTAATGATGCAACTCCTGAAGGATTGGGAATCAAAATCAAGGGTTTCAAGGATTTGATCAAACAACAGGGAAGAAGTGATAAAGATGTGAAATTTTTACAACTAATCACTGTTGTTCTTGGTGACACTCATGAAGAAGCAATAGAGAAATTACAAGAATATAAGAGCTATAGCGATTTAGATGGTGCTCAAGCACTATTCGGTGGTTGGACTGGTATTGATATAGGCCAATATGGATGGGATCAAGAATTAAAACATGTAGAAAGTAATGCAGTTCGAGGGTTCGTGGAAAAATGGACAAAGGTCCTTCCAGGTGAATCAGGAGACATTAAGAAGACTAGAGAGTTTGTTGCTAATCAAATATCGATTGGTGGATTTGGTTCTGTTTTTTATGGGACTCCCAAAGAGGTTGCTGACGAAATAGAAAGATGGGTCGATATTTCTGATCTCGATGGTTTTAATATAACATACACCATTACCCCTGGAGCTTTCGAAGAAGTTGTTGATAAGTTGATTCCCGAACTAAGAAGCCGTGGTTTAGTCTGGGATGATTACCCAAAAGACGGTATCACTTTTAGAGAGCAAATATTTGGAACAGAAGGCGAAGATCCAACATATTTACGCTCAACCCATCCAGCTTATGAGCTCAGATGGAAGGCTGGGGAATCGAAGGAAGAACTCGAGGAACGAATTCAAAGGATTAAGCAAGAAAGATTCAATATAGAAATCTAATTTGCGACACAATTCTATATAGTTATATTTAGAGTCAATACAAAATATTAAATTCAATAAAGCTTACTCAAAAGCTTAATTCATGGACCGGATGACTTGAACGAAGAAGGACTTTTGAATTCTGTTTCAAAAATGTTTTCTCTCTAGATCTCTTAAAAAAGATATTTAATCTCAGATAGGTTTAGTCGCCATTAATGTAACGGTATCTACAATGAAGACAACAGCTAGTATTGAAATTTTACAAGTAGTTATATTTAAGTCTAATCACTTTTTGCCAAAATGTTTTGTCTTTACTTTCTTAATCCTTTCCTCGAGTTCTTCTTTTGATTCACCAGCTCTCCATCTAAGATCGTAAGCCGGGTGAGTTGAACGAAGATAAGTTGGGTCTTCACCTTCAGTTCCGAAAAGTTGCTCTCTAAATGTAATTCCTTCTCTTGGGTAATCGTCCCAAACCAATCCCCGTCTTCTCAATTCAGGGATCAAATAATCAACAAGTTCCTCAAAAGATTGAGGTGTCACGGTGTAAGTAAAGTTGAATCCATTCAAGCCGGATACATCAACCCAGCGCTCAATCTCGTCAGCAACTTCAGATGGGGTTCCAACAAAGACTACACCTGAACCTCCTATACTTATTTTATTAGCCAAATATTCTCTTGTTTTTCTCAAATTTTCAGGATCTCCAGGTAATCTTTTCGTCCACTTTTCAATGAACCCACGAATTGCATTACTCTCAACATGTTGTAGTTCTTGATCCCAGTCATACTGGCCAATGTCTATACCGGTCCAACCGCTGAATAAAGCTTGTGCTCCATCTAAGTCACTGAGGTCTTTATATTCTTTAAATTTTTCTATAGCAGCTTCATGAGTATCACCGAGTATCACAGTAACCAATTGCACGAACTTTATATCATCTGGGTTTCTCCCATTCTTGGCTGCAATCTCTTTGATGTTATCAATTTTACCTTTCAAGCCCTCTGGTGAAGTGTCATTGACGAATACAGCTTCAGCGTTTTTGGCTGCAAATTCCACTCCTGATTTACTTGCACCAGCTTGCAAAATTACCGGCAACCTTTGAGGAGTTGGCTCAGTGATACTAGGGCCGGGAACTTTGAAGTGTTTTCCGTCGTGGTTGATTAACCTGATTCGTTCTGCATCGGCAAACACTCCAGTCTTTGGGTCGACTTTAATAGCATCATCGCTCCAAGAAGATAAGAACAAATCGTAGATCACTTCAAGATATTCTTCGGCACGGACGTATCTTTCGTCATGCGGGGGCAAATCTGCCCCATTCAACAAGTTCCTTGCAGCACTATCCAAGTAAGAAGAAACGACATTCCATCCAACTCGACCATTTGTCAAGTGGTCTAGAGTGGCTAGTCTTCTGGCAAAATGGTAAGGTGCTTCACTGATAGTACTGAAAGTAATCGCGAATGATAGGTTCTTGGTAACAGCGGCCATTGCAGACACAACAGCACTTGGTTCATTGATAGGCCATTGTGCCCCAGATTTAGCAGCCGCAGTTAAGTTCTGAGGACCGTTAAAAACATCATATCCACCCATGACATCTGCAATGAAGAGAGCATTGAACTTGCCTCTTTCCAAAGCTTTAGCAAGATTGGTCCAGTACTCAATTGTATTATAGTTTCTTGACTTATCTTTTGGGTGTTTCCAAAGTCCTGGATTTTGTAATCCAGGACATCCCATATCAAATGCATTAATGATCAAAGTAGATTTCCTGTTAAGTTTACGCTGTTTGGTTTGCGGTTGTGTCATTGTGGTTTTATGAAGTACAACTCTTCCTTCTACACAACTAGGACGATATAATAAGCTTATATAAGCTATCAAAGTCAATTACAGAATAGTATTAGTTAATTGCGAAATCTTTCAAAATGGTAGAATGAACTGATGCAACATAAAGAACTGTGGCAGCCGAAGTTTTTCGCGGTTGCGGGTCGGGTTTCAAAATAATCCTTTCTGCACTGAAGGAAATCATATTAATTGAAGCATTTTTCGAAGACTACCAGTACTAAGTTAGTCTTGGACTTCATGGCTATCAAATCGGTTGCTATAATAGGTGGTGGTCCCTCGGGGCTAATTACTTTGGATGCTTTGATCTCTGAACAGAAGTTCGATGTGATCAGACTTTTTGAGCGTCGAAGCGAAGCAGGAGGTAGCTTTTCATATCAAGCCAATCCACCTGAAAAGTTAAAGAATATAAAGGCACTCAGTGAAAGAAAAGCATTCCAGCATGACCCGGTCCCGTCTGAGTTACCAGCGTATGTGCCCAAGTCAGCTACTCAAAGGTTTATGGATACTGCAACCTATTCATATCTTGAAAGTAACGTGGAAGCTAGTGTGATGGAATTTTCAAAAGAACGATTTCCAGAGGCTCTGAGTTCAAGATCGATTAAGAAATACGGTAAAGATACTCCATTCAGGCATAACACCCAAATAAAACAATGGGTTCAAGATTTATATAAGAGAAAAGGGCACGACGACCATATTGAGTTCAATACGTCTGTTGAATTGATTGAAAAAAATGAAAATTACACTTTAACATTGAGAAGATTTGGAATAAATTCGGATTATGTTTGGCAAGAGCATTTTGATGCTGTTGTGGTTGCAAGCGGGCATTACGATGTTCCCTATGTACCAGATATTCCTGGGTTGGATGACTTCATGGCAATTCCACGTACAGAGACTATACATTCTAAAGCCTTCAGAACCAGAGAGCAATTTCGTAACAAGAAAACTGTAGTTGTTGGAGCTTCGATTTCTGCTATGGATGCAGTACAAGATATTGTTGGAGTTGCTAAAAGCCCGATAATTTCTGCCAGAAGATCAGATACTCCGAATATTTATTTCGGGGACCATGCATTTAATCACCCTCAGGTAATAAGAACGAGAGAAGTTGACAAAATAAATGGCCAAACCGTACATTTCAAAGATGGCCAAATCATTGATGACGTTGATGCAATTATTTTTGGTACTGGGTTTTCTTACGCTTATCCCTTTTTACCAAATTTAAATTTAACTGGGAATAAGGTTAACGGGTTGTATCAGCTAATTTTCAAGATTGACGAACCTAGAATTGCGTTTGTTGGTGCAATAACAGCTGGGTTTACATTCAAAGCATTTGAATGGCAAGCAGTGTACGTCGCCAGGGTTTTCGCTGAACGGGCACAATTACCTAGTATCAAAGATCAAAATCAATGGGTCGAGGAAAGACTTAAGAGAAAAGGTGAAGGTCCGGATTACAGCTCTCTTGCACCGGATTTTGAAGAATATTTTGAAACTGTTAGAAAACTCGCTGGAGAAGAAGGACCTGGAAGACGATTACCCAAATGGAATGCTAGGTGGGAATCTGATTTTTGGAGAGGCCATCAAAGAAGGATCGGATACTGGATTGAAAATAATAATAAACCTTCACACCATGTAGACGAAGTAGATGAAAAAACTGATCATTCAAAAACTACTAGTGTGCTGAAGCAGGAACATGTCAATTCCTTGATCATTAGTTCAATTACTGTGATGGTATTGTTATTGATTATTGTTTATCCTAGTTGAATTTACTTAAGTTAGAAACAGTTTAATTTATAAAGATAATTTCATTTCAGTTATAGATGTTATAAATATAGATTTATAGAGGATACCTGTAACTTCTATTTTCGAAATCAGTCAAGCCTCTGAATCCATCCAAGACAGCTTGTTTGGCAATCTCGTCATTATAACCACCTTGTTCTTTATTTCTCTGTTTATTACGACGAATCAAGATCAAAGCATAAGCGAAATTCATTAGTATCATAGCCGAATAACAAGTCATGAAACCAATCATACCTTTTGTATATCTAGGGGCTGTAGAGATCCCCATTATAACTGATCCAATAATGTTCCCGGTTGCATACAAGGCAAACCAAGACCCGGAGGCAACAGTACGTTTAGTGTCACCACCTATACTATTAATGGATACCCAATTTAAAATAACTGGACCACCAATTGTATAGAAAAAGAAAGTACCTACTACTGCCGATTTATTACTTAAATCGACTAAATGTAAAACGATGATTGCAACAAAACCTGGTAAACATAGTAAGAAGTAAAGGATACAACGAGTATTTTTCACAAAGATTGCAGCAAGCCCCGAACAGAAAACCATTACGAATTCAATTGCACCAGTTGGTAATTGATAAGCAGTAGCTTCAATCCCAGTGAAACCAAGACTTTTAATGATACTACTTAAGAAATTAGATATACCACCGTTAATTATACCACAGCAAAGACCCGATAATGCAAGGATATAAACGGTTACATCTTTTGCTGCTTCCCAAGCTTGATAAGGTTTAAATTTTTTATCTTTAATACCTTTACCGTTCTTTGAAATTTTTTGAATTAAAATGGTCTTCTCTTGATCGGTTAAAAATTTAGCTTTAGCAGGCAGATCAGGACAAAAAATCAAAAAAATTATTGAAAAACAAAAATTTAATAAACCAATAACCAAAAAAATCAATTTCCAAGAAGATATAGCTGCGTTATTTGCATGACCCAAACCAAAGGCCAATAACGCACCAACCACGGTAGCAATACCATTGAAACTTAAGAAACAGCACATTCTGAATGGCTGGTCGTCTTCGGTATAAAACATTCTTATTATTGACATGATTGCCGGACTAATACTTGCTTCGAATAAGCCTAGGATAAATCTAAGAACTAGCATACCAGAGTAGCCTTTAGCACCAATATGAGCAATTAGAATGACCGACCAAATTAGGATAACTGAACCGGTATATTTAGCCACTGGTAATTTTTGTAATAACAAATTTGATGGATAAGCATTTGCTAAATAACCAAAATTAAAAATTGCAGCTATCCAACTATATTGAGAAGTGGATAATCCCAAATCCTCAGACATTGAAAAACTATTTGCATAATTCAAGCTTAGTTTATCTAAAAATTGTAATAAGTAAGCAAAACACACAATTGGCAAAAGCCTCAAATCTAACTTTAAGCGTATTTTCTTATACTGTTCATCAAGCTCATCTTGGGTATAGATATCAGATTGAAGATAATAATTTAAACCGATTTTATTTTCAGTATCTAGATTATCTTCTTCGATAATTGCGGTTGAAACTTGTGCTTGGAGTTTTTCACTCGTTATCGAGTTGACAGTCGAGTCTTCCTTCTTCATTTTTGCGGTACAGTATCAAATTAGATAAACATGAATAGTAAGCTAGCTTTATAAGAGGAGCGGAATTGTCAAATTCCGCGAACTCCTCTTCTAAAGTTTAACTTGATAAGATATATTTCTTGTCATAAACCGGGTATTAGATCAATAATAACTTGATAATAAATCTACAATAGATTGATTAAGATGCTTCGCGTCTAACACGATTGATTCTCGTATTCGTCCATCAATATCGACGCTTAGCTCAAAGCGGTTGAGCATCTTATAAATACCACCCGTCGCACAATTTTGTTGTACAGTATGTACTCCAGCAGATAAGAACACAGCAGATACGGCTAGCTCAAAAGATAAGATCAGCAAATTCTATCAACAGATACCTCATCAGATAATTAAACAAACAATTTAACCGATAGTTCAACAGATACCTCAACAAACAATTAAACAAACAATTTAACCGATAGTAGAACAGAGTTCAATAAAGGAGCAAGGAATATCTTCACTTTTTTTCTTTTTGCAACCAACACCGCACCCGTACATACGTCGTCTAGTGCAATAACCGATACAAACACCCATACACCAAATATTCGGAAGGGCGGTGTAAGTATTGGCCAAATTAGACCCGATATGGCCGTTTACGCCCGTCGGACCCCGGTGATAACAGTCAGACATCAACGCATTTTCGGGTTTCGATCCATTTCTGTTCAGCTAACGGCTTTGGCAGTTGCCTTCCGCTCGCAGGCCCACCAGAAAGTGGACAGCAACACAGTTATATACCAGGCTTATCGTATGTAAACCTGATCCTATCCTTTATTCAGGCGAATAATCTTTTGCCACCAACCTGACTCATCATCAATTGCAATGGGGGAGGTTTTGGATGGAATTTTGATAGAGCAGTAGTTTTTCCTATTGATTTTTTTTTTTTGTTTTGTTAGCAATGCCAGTTGTGTACAGGTTGCATCGCATCAAAAACAGATAAAATTACTGTAGAGCTGAGTGAGCTGAAATATCTATATATAAAACTAGATATCATTTCAAATTTACCCTTGTTAACTATTGGTGACTAGCGTTTACTTCAAAGTTATTATTCTTAGGTATTACTTCTTGCAGAAGTGTTATTTGGTGAAATATCACCGTCAGGACAGAAATTTGATTTAATCTTGCTATTACCATTTTTTAATCATGAATGGCGAAGATAATCTAGAAGTTGCAACTTCTGACTTTATAAAACCTCAAAAACGGTTATTGACTCCGTTATTTACCAAAGGAGTTCCTCCTTTACCTAGTCAAGATGAACGTAATGCATTTCCGGAAAAAACTGCTAATCCACTTTCCAGGGTGTTTTTTTGGTGGTTAAATCCGGTTATGAAGACTGGTTATAAGAGAACATTGCAACCAGATGATTTATTTTATCTTGGAGATGATTTTGTTGTTAAACCAAAGGCTGATAAATTTATTGAAATATTCAATAGGAGATTGGCTAAGGCTAAGGAAAATCATATTTTACAAAAATGTAAAGAACGTAATGAATCAATTGATTCTTCTAGCGTATCTAAAGAAGAAGATATGGAAGATTTCAGTCCTCCAAAAGCTATCACTGCGTTGTCTTTATTAGAAACTTTTAAAATCCGTTACTTCATGGCTTGTTTATTACTTACTATTTGTAATGTTGCTCAAACTTTAAATCCTTTACTTACGAAAAAGTTAATTCAATTTGTTGAAAGAAGAGCTGCCGGTGTCGAATCTCGTGTTGGACCAGGGGTTGGCTATGCTATTGGTGCTTCTTTATTGGTTTTGGTTATTGGTATTTTTGTTAATCATTTTTTCTATAATTCAATGATGTGTGGTGCTTTTTCAAAAGCTGTTTTAACAAAGGCAATGTTGGATAAATCTTTTAAACAAAATGCTGAATCAAGATCAAAATATGGTGCCGGTAAAGTCACTTCAATGATGGGTACTGATTTAGCAAGAATTGACTTTGCTATTGGATTTCAACCTTTTATTATTACTTTCCCAGTCCCAGTTATCATTGCAATAGCCATTTTAATCGTCAATGTTGGCCCTTCGGCTCTTGTTGGGGTTGGTTTACTTTTATTTTTTGTGTTTTTCATGATGTGGTGTGCTAAACAATTCTTTAGTTATAGAGTTATTGCTAATAAGTTTACTGATAAAAGAGTTAGTTATATTAAAGAAGTTTTAAACAATTTGAAAATTATTAAGTTTTACTCTTGGGAACCTCCTTATCATGAAAATATTTCTGATGTTAGATATAAAGAAATGAAAAATATTTTGAAAATGCAAGTTTTAAGAAATATTTTAATGGCTTTGGCAATGTCTATGACAACTTTAAGTTCAATGGCTACTTTCTTAACTCTTTATGGTGCTAAAAATGGTAAAGATGATGCTGCTTCCATTTTCTCTTCAATCTCTTTATTCAATGTTTTATCGCAACAAGTTCTTATGTTACCTTTGGCTTTGGCTGCGGGTGTCGATTGTATGACTGGTTTAATTAGAGTTGGTCGTTATTTGGCCTCTTCTGAAATTGATCCAGAGTCAAATAGAATTGATGCTGATTCTGAAAAAATTGTGGAAATGGATTCTAATGATTTATCAATTGAAGTTAATAATGCTAATTTTGAATGGGAAACTTTCGAACTTCAAGATGAAGAAAATGAAGTAGATTTAATTAATCTGAATAAGAAATACAGAAAACAATTGGCTAGAGAAGAAAAACTAAAGAAAAAATTATCCCAAAATTCTTCTACTGAAAATGATGAAAAATTAGAAGAGTCAAATTATCATGCAGATCCTGAAGGTAAAGAATTAAAGGATTCTTCCTCTAATGATACATCTTTAGAAGATTCTAATTTTGCTGGTTTAAACAATATCGATTTGAAAATCAAGAAAGGTGAATTCGTTGTCATTACTGGGTTAATTGGTTCAGGTAAATCTTCTCTTTTACTGGCCTTGTCCGGTTTCATGAAGAGGACTTCCGGTAGCGTCAATGTCAATGGTTCCTTATTACTTTGTGGTTATCCATGGATTCAAAACGATACTGTCAAATCAAATATTTTGTTTGGTGAAGAATTAGATGAAGCTAAATACAGTGAAGTGGTTTATGCATGCTCTTTAGAAAGTGATTTGGAAATTTTACCAGCTGGTGATGCTACCGAAATCGGTGAACGTGGTATTACATTATCAGGTGGTCAAAAAGCTCGTATCAATCTAGCAAGAGCTGTCTATAATAACAAAGATATCATTTTATTAGATGATGTGTTAAGTGCTGTCGATGCTAGAGTTGGTAAACATATAATGAATAATTGTATTTTAGGATTATTAAAGGATAAAACTAGAATTTTAGCAACTCATCAATTATCTTTGATTGGTTCAGCTGATCGTGTCATTTTCTTAAACGGTGATGGATCAGTTAGTGTCGGTGCTGTTGAAGAATTAAGAGAAAATAATTTCGCTTTCAATAATTTGATGGCTTTCAATTCGGAAACAAAAGACGAAGAAGAAGAAAAAGAAGAGGAAAATGAAGATGAGGAGCAAGAAGCTCAAGAATTTGAATCCATTAAGCGCCAACTTTCGAAAATCCCAACAAACAAAGAAAAAGATGAAGAAGCTATCCACAAAGATTATAATCAAAATAATACCGAAGATGGTAAATTAATGGCTTCAGAAGACAGGGCTATTAATGGGATTAAACTTGATGTTTATAAAAAGTACATTCACTATGGTTCTGGTAAGATTGGTAGTCTTGTAATGTGTTTTGCTATTGTTTTAGCAGTTGTTTTAGCTACCTTTTGTCAACTTTTCACCAACACTTGGTTGTCCTTCTGGACTGAAAAGAAATTTCCAGGAAAATCTGATGGATTCTATATTGGATTTTATGTTATGTTTGCAGTTTTATCGGGTCTTTTGATTATGATTGAATTTATCTTCTTCGTATTATTAACCAATACTGCTTCTAAAAACTTGAATATTTTGGCAGTCAAGAAAGTATTACATGCTCCAATGTCTTTCATGGATACCACTCCAATGGGTAGAATATTGAATAGGTTTACAAAAGATACAGATGCATTAGACAATGAACTTGGTGATCAAATCAGAATGTTGTTCTTCTTTTTTGGTAACATTGCTGGGGTTTTAATCTTATGTGTTATCTATTTGCCTTGGTTTGCGATTGCAATCCCATTTTTGGTTGCTTTATTTATTGGTGTGGCTAACTATTATCAAGCTTCTGCCAGAGAGATTAAAAGATTGGAAGCTTTACAGAGATCACATGTATATAATAATTTCAATGAAACTTTAAATGGTATGAATACAATTAAAGCTTATAAAGCTGATCATATATATTTAAGAAAAAATGAATTCTTTTTGAATAAAATGAATGAGGCTTACTATCTTACTATCGGTAATCAACGTTGGTTGGCTATTCATCTTGATTGCCTTGCTACAATCTTTGCTTTAATAATCGCCTTACTTTGTGTTTTTAGAGTTTTCTCGATCGGTCCAGCATCAGTTGGTTTATTGTTATCTTACGTCTTACAAATTGCTGGTCAATTGTCCATGTTAATCAGAACTTACACTCAAGTCGAAAATGAAATGAATGCAGTTGAAAGAATGTGTAGTTATGCTTTTGATCTTCCACAGGAAGCACCTTTCAAAATTTCTGAGACCACACCTCCTCCTGAATGGCCAGAACAAGGTTCTATTAAATTCGAAGATGTAAGCTTGGCCTATAGACCAGGCTTACCATTAGTCTTGAAAAACTTATCTTTACAAGTTGAACCATCTCAAAAAATTGGTATTTGTGGTAGAACAGGTGCAGGTAAATCTTCAATTATGACTGCTTTATATAGGTTATCAGAATTGAGTACTGGTAAGATTGAAATTGATGGTATCGATATTTCAAGCTTGGGTTTAAGTTCCTTAAGATCTAAATTATCTATTATTCCACAAGATCCTGTTTTATTCCAAGGAACAATCCGTAAAAACCTTGATCCTTTCAATGAGCATCCTGATGATTTGTTATGGGATTCATTAAGAAGAGCTGGTTTGATAGAAGAAGCAAAACTTAAATCGGTTAAAAGACAAAATGATGAAAGTGAAGAATATCACAAGTTCCATTTAAATCAAGAAGTTGAAGATGATGGTGCTAATTTTTCATTAGGTGAAAGGCAATTAATTGCATTTGCTAGAGCTTTAGTGAGAGATTCAAAGATATTGATTTTAGATGAAGCAACCTCATCAGTTGATTATGAAACTGACAATAAGATTCAATCTACAATTGTTAGAGAATTCAGTAAATGTACAATTCTTTGTATTGCTCATCGTCTTAAGACTATTTTAAATTACGATAAGATTTTGGTTTTAGATAAAGGAGAAATTAAAGAATTTGATACCCCTTGGAATTTATTCAATACTGAAGATAGTATCTTTCAACAAATGTGTGAAAGATCTAATATTACTGTTGAAGATTTTCAAAATCTTCAACGTATGTAAGTTTTTTAACAAAAACAAAATATTTATTTATATGAGAGCATACAAAATTATCATTAATTTAATATATAATACTATTACTACTACTACTATTACTACTACTACTACTACTACTACTACTACTACTACTACTACTACTACTACTACTACTACTACTACTACTACTACTACTACTACTACTACTACTANCTACTACTACTACTACTACTACTACTACTACTACTACTACTACTACTACTACTACTACTACTACTACTACTACTACTACTACTACTACTACTACTTCTACTACTAATGATAATAATTATAATAATAATAATAATAAAATAATAATAATAATAATAAAGATACATAATAATGAAAGCTAGTAGAAATAATATATGCAAATATACATCACTAATGTAAAATGAGAACTCTTTGATTAATGAGTTTACGACGTAATATTTTAGGCATCAAGTAATATTGAGCCCAATCCGTATAAAGGATTTTAAGTTCAGTTGGAACATCGAAATCGAGATCGGAGAAGTTGTTCAAGGACATATCAAGTTCACTCAAAGAATTTGGAAGTGATTCAAAAGTATCCAACTTATTTTGTTGTAAGATTAAAGTTTTCAAGGAAGGAGGTAATATGCTTCCATTTATTGCTGTCATGACATTACGAGATAAATCGAGTGCTTTCAATTTTGAAGGAAATACCCATCCTTGGATAGATTTAATTGAACTATTCAAAATCTTTAACTTAATAAGAGATTGGGGTAAAATTAAATTTGGAGATTCTTTAAAATTCAAATTTGAAAGAGTCAACGACTTCAAAGCAGTAAATTTATGAAGACAACTAAAATCTTTGACATTATTAAAAGGTTGACAATCGGATTCGAGTCTTAAATTTTCTAAATGAGTCATAATAGGATAAGACTGAAGAACTCTATTGAAAAATGTAGAGTTAACATCATGCTGCATTTCCGAAAATATTGATTCATTTTCAGAAAAGAAAATGTTGATCTCTCTGGAAATTGGACGAAGCATAGAAGGTGCTTGTTTTAAGAATTTCGAAAAATGTCTTAGCATTTTGAAGACTTCTGGCTCATATTGGGGGTTGTCACCAAAAGCGTAAATGATCTTTTTGGGGCATTTGAATTGCAAATAGTACTTGGATCTTAAATCATCTGATTTTGCAAGAAACTCTTCAAAGGACCATACAATATATTTGGGTAATTGATCACAAGGAACAATTTTTTTGGCTCTAATCAACAAAACTAGCAGATCATGCCAACAGTTGGTGACAATGATTCTTGAGTGTTTTACAGTCTCGAGAATCTTGTATATTTCATTCTCTTGTTCAAACTCAGTTTCGAATAAGCTAGTCATTCGACTTAGTTGCTCTTGATCAAAATACCTAAAGATTTCAGTGATTATATCTCCCGGTAGATCTTCAAAAGCCGTCATATTTTTTGCTGTAGTACGCTACCCAAGATCATCAGTATCATCAATTATACCCAAGTTTTCTATTTCTCGGGCCTTCTTAGGCTTTGTCTATGCTTGTATTGGCTTCTCCCTTTTTTTTTTTGCAGTAAATTCAAAAATTGTATACGGCCTAGAGAGTATTAACCAAATCAGATAAGCGAAAAAAAAAAATAAAATAAAATAAAAATAAAATTACTTTATATAAAATAAAATAAAACAAAGGAAGTAAGAAAACGATCAAAACAAACAAGAAACAGAAGAATATTCAAATCAATTGACTATTTTGATATTCTTGTAGATCCTTTTATAATGTAAATCGTTAATTTGAACGTCAATAGAAAAAAGCAAAAATTTCCAGATTGGATGACCGTTTCAGCTTTTTCTGTTGATGTTGCGCGTGCTATACAGCAGCAAAAGAGTATATTAACCGAAGATTAGATTGATTCTTTGCTCTGAACCTGAGTATTTATATATCGATACTACAGCAAATACAGCGAGAGCAATATACAATACGAAAGCTTTATTGAATTATTAGCTAATCTAAATAAATAATAAATAAAAAGTGTTTATATTGTGTCGGTTCACAGCCAAACCATAGAATAGGGCGAGGGAACGAAACAATAGCAAACAATATAAACGTCGGTGATGTTGTAAGGGTTCCGTAAATAAAAGTTAATGCTTGCTTGACTTTGCTTACTTCATCTTCTTTTTATAATCAGCAAACGAGAGTTTTTTCACCACTGGCGGTGGTGCCGATTCTGATGAAGTCAGAGTTGCAGCAGATGGCGATGAAGCTGAGCCAACTGCAACCGGTTTTGCTTCAGACGCTGTGCTATCAAAGCTAGACGGTTTTTCAACTTCTGGTTGCTTATCGGTGGCAGCTGCTGCTGCAGGCAATTCGGGTTTGGTGGTATTGTTTGAAGGGGGAGCTTGATCAATACTAGTAGTAGTTGTATTTGTAGTGTCTAGATTAGAAACTGGAATTGGTAAAGACTTACTTGTAACATCGGGTTTCACGTCAACTTTTGGCGATTCTGATAATACTTGAATTGGTTTGATTTCGTCCTCAACCAGTTGTTTAATATTCACCACAACCTCTTGAACGATTGGAACAATCAACTCATTGTTCAAATTGATATTATCATTGGTAGTCTTTTGGTTCTTGGTTGATTTATCAATACTTGATATGATTTGTCTACCTTTAGCGATCAATTGTTGTTTGAATGGTATACCAAAAGCTTTTTTCTTCACCTCGTTTAAACCCACATTTTCATTTTCTTTCTCGTTATCAGATGGCTTCCCTCCGTCAGCGTCTTCTTCGTCTCCACTGTGATCGGTTGCAAGAGTTTCATTTGATCCTCTTCTACCAATGGATAAAAGTTCATCTTGGTCAGACAGCAGTGCTTGTTCTGGACTTATCAAGCTTTGTTGAATGTTTCGATCTCTTTCAATTAATCTTTCATCCCAAGATATGAATTGTTTCGATTTCTTAGGTCTAATTAATTCTTCGCGAGATTTTGATAAATTCACATTACTAATATTTGATGCTTTTCTTGTCGATCTTAATAAATAGGATGTAGCCTTTTTAATTTTATAAATTGCACATTGTTGGCTTTGATTTGATGTTGTGCAACCGCACTCAATAAAATGAAGGATATTATCAATGCCTGATATGAGTAATGTTTTTTCGTCATCACTAAACTGATCAAATTTTAGCCCTTCAATAACATTTTTGGTTTCATCATTGACTTTACTATACATCTTTAAGATTGGATGAATGCCATCCCATTCCCAATCAAGTCTAAGTTCTTCTTCTGGGTTGTTATTTGTAAGGGTAATTGGTTTTTTGGTATAAACCACAAATCTAAATGAATTCAGTTGAGGTACATATATTGGCTTAATAAAACAGTTAACGGTGTTTGGGCATGATTTTCGAATAAATCTGGATTCGTTACCAACAAATCTTGAATCCAAAACCACCTCAATTGGTTTATCATCCTGCTTTATAGGTAATCTTGACTTTAAAACTCTTGGTTTAGTTGTACCCCAAATCGGATATTGATTTACTCGATCATTTTTATAACTTTCGAAAAAATCAATCTCTCCTAAGTATTCAATTATTGGAGTATCTTCTGGAATGGTGACGCTATCTTGACCGTTGGGGATTCGTTCAGAGATGAATAAACCAAGTCTAGTGATCCCATTGAGTTTTTGCTTTGGATTTTCCCCGTATGATTTAACTTGGATCATTGTTTTATTGAAGCCCTTATTCCTTCTGAGTTCATTTCTTTCTTGTAAATATTTTTGATGATTTGGTAATATTATTCTGCTCATTTTAAGATTTTTAAACTGGTTCAATGACATTACTTCAATTGATTTGGAGTCAGTTTGATTTCGATACTTCTTACCAAAATCTTCAAATTGGCATTTAACATGTGGTCTTTTATAATCATTTTTTCTTAATTTATAATAAACCGATTGATAAAACTCGGCCGAAATTCCATCATCGAGTAACTCATTATCTTTATTTGGTAATAAGTCTGTTGCCTTTGGTGAGCTTTTCGGAAGTAAAGCAGAAGATTTTGATTCCTTAAAAAGATTTTGATTAGATGAGAGATCTTTTGAAGTGTCATCTGCATGTTTGCTTTGATCATGATTTTCATTTTCAACAATTTTGGAAGGTGCTTGTTTATGACCTTTATCAGATTTACGTCTTTTATTTTCGTCAGCAGCATTATTCAGTAATTTTCGTTTCAAAGGGGATTTATTTTTAAATTGATCAGGGATTCCGTCATCTTGGTTTGACCTTTCATTTTCTAATCTTTCAAGAGTATCTTTTTTACAAGTTTCAGGATTAAACTTTCCCCATTTTGCTCTATCGCAATAGTAGCATTTATATTCATCTTCAGGTACTTCTTCGTTGGTGTTATATCCCATACATAAACAATGCTGCCAACGGAAACAAACATCACATTGAATAGTAAAACCATCATCATCATCAATTTCACAAATACATCCGATTAAACCAGAATCAGGATCAACTTGGAAGGTCTCCAATGGAGGTGGTTTGAACTCATTTTCAGTATAAGGAAGTTCTTGTTTTACTTCAGAGCTTTCACTGTCAGGATGAGCTTGCATAGAGTCTCGAGTTTGATTTTTTTCAGTTTGTAATGGTTGTTCATCAACCTCCATTGATTCTGGAACTGGTACATCAGTGTTCATGATATCTTTAAGAGAGGCGCTTCTTGATTTTTCGTGATGGGGTTTTTTTGGTTGATCAAGACTCTTTTTTTGTTGTGATGGTTGCAGATATTGTTGAGATTGTTCATCATCAGTTTGATTTGCATCTTCTTCTTCGGGTTCAGTAGCTACGGCATCTTCCATGGACTGGTCTTCATTTTTAGGTCGAGGTTGATCATCTTTCTGTTGTTCTTGATATTGTTCTTGTTGTTTTTGTTGTTGTTGGTGTATAGGAGATGATGATCCAGCACGGATCTTTTCAGTCTCCGGCTGATCCTTTTTGATTAGGGGTAAGGGTATATCTGCAGCAGCAGCCAAAGCAGCGGCAGCTATCATTGCATTGTTGTTATTTCTTTTCCCGGAATCCATGTTGATACCCCTAGCAAGAGCCACATTAGCTGGGCCAGGTGAAAGATGAGTATGGGAATGGGAATGCGAGTGGGAATGCGAGTGGGAATGCGAGTGGGAATGCAGATGTGAGGGTAAGTTTGAGTTGGAAACATCCTTCGTTAAAGGCGGAGGGCTTTGAGAAGGATGTTTGGTTTCTGATACTGAAGGAGATGAAACCGAACGTTTATGATTATTTTGAATGAAGTTCCCTTGGGCGGGTAAATTATGAAGCGGTTTATCTGATAATGATTCTCTTCTTGGGTCTTGTTGATGATTGAAAAGAGGTAAGGCCGGTTTCAAAGAGTCGGGAACGGAGATGGACGAGTTTTTCGAGTGGCTTGCGGATTCTGGTAATGATTTTGATTGAGGAATAGGAGGAGACTCTTTCACAGCAGGCGAAGGATCATAAGATCTTATCTGGTTAGTCAGTCCATGGTAAGCCGGGTGAGGGTCTTGATTAACCAAGCTAGTTATTGGGGAAGCCTTGTTCATTGTAGGAGGAGGAGGAGGAGGAGGATTTTGATTGTTATAATGTGGGTTTGAGGAATTGCTGATGGTGGTGGCGGCCAACTGATTAACAGAAGGTATGGCAGGGACTGGGGGTGAAGGTGATTTATGGCCTTCTTGTTGCTGTTTAGCAGCAACGTTGGCAAACATCAACAAAGTAGAAGCATCCTGTAAAAGCTGATCATCTTCTTTCTTACCATCAGAAGGATTAGACATTATAGAAGGAGGGAAAAAGAAGCAAAAAAAAATTTGTAAGGATCAAGATAAAAGACAAGATATACCAAAATCTGTAAAAATGAAGTTGATCAGTGCTTGTCTATTTATCAATAGGACAGTCAAAAAGGGACAAGAGCAAAGTTTAATATGAAATATTTAAGTGAAATTGAATATATGTAGAAATATGTGAAATACGAATTTTTTATCTTAGTACATTTGTAAGTAAATATTTCCAAGGGTGAGGGAGTGGGATGGTGGGACTACTCTTTGGTGAGAAGACTGTTTATTCTCTATGGCAAATACCGGGGAATGGTTGGTTGAAAATGAATATTCTTTAAAAAATTATAAACGAAAGGCTGTTATTCTAATGGTTTATTTTAATTTTTGTTAATAAAGTGACCACCAAAGAAAAACAAAATAAAAAAAAATTTCACTAGAAAAAAAAAAAAACACTAACAAAACAAAAAAAAAGTAAGTGAAACAAGTGCAGAAAAAAAGTCTATACGGTAAGCTTGTCGTATAAGCTATTGGGATAAAAATATACGACCATATCGTATGGTAGGACAAGGGTATTCTCGTTGACAGATTGATGGCTACAGGGTTATACGAGGTGGTACACGAAAGATTGAATCTTAAAGATTGGATGATATGAGATTGACTATATACAGAAGTTCAAAAAAGTTGGGATAAGAGTAGTAGAATAGAAAATAGTTGGGAGATTAAGGCTTGATTGATCTATTCTTTTGAATCTTGAGCAGGTTGCAGTTTTTTGGCATCAGAAACTTTTTGGATATACTCTAGTTCTTTTCTTAAACTATCCATTGCATAATATACTTTTGACTGTAGATAAAACGAGTTACCCTTTTCTTTTGAATTCACATCGAATAGATATTTATATTTTTCATCGATTTTATCTAAACTCAACTCCTTCTTTTCGAGATCTAAGATTTTTAATGCTTCATCGGTGGTGATACCCCCCACTGAACTGGCCTTGGTGGCTCCTCCTGTTTGTGCGCTCAGAGCACTGACTTTGGCAGCTTGTCTGTATGCCTCGGTGAAAGCACGGCCAAACACTGATGCTCCGGTGAATATGACGTTGACTAATAATCTGTGGGCCATCCTTGATGTTGGAGTGTTGGTAGATTGGCCATTAGTCAATTTTTTTTTTTTTTGCTTTTCACTTGAAGAACCAGAGAGAAAAATTCTCTGGTGTTTGGGTCTACTTTACTGGTGCATGGGTTTATTTACTGAGCTTACATTTTTTGCAGTTATTGTTATATTACTCTATTAACATTCATTAAAGCTTTCGGTATCGGGAGTCTCTGGTTCGGAATCGTTGGTGTGGAAACGCTCAAATCTATCAATCAACCCACTGTCATGGTTTCTGTTTTTCTTCTGCTTTTCTTTCTTGGTAGAATTCATGTCATTTCGTTTACAGCTGGAACATGGACATTCAGGACACCGGTAGGTATTAGACAAATGACTCGATGACTTGCCAAAGCGATTTGAAAAGTGTCTTTCCGGAAGCGTTGGTATGGAATAATAAGAGAATCTTGCATCTAAGGCAAGCCTTTTAAAAGCCATGATACTATTAGCAGAACTAACGATATCAAGTAAAAAGTGGTGTCTAGTATGCTTGATGATATCAATTACTATACTTTTCAATTCGGCGAAAATCAATTGTGGCTCATGATATTGGCATTCATTAATGTAAGGATGCGTTCTCAATAAAAGCGATTTGAAAGATTCACCCAATTTTGGAGTGAATGATCTAACCCTGGCCAATTCATCGTTACGTGCAAGCTGATAATCCATTGAGCTAAGAAGATAAGCGACAATGTAATTCCAATCGCATCCGTATTTGAAAGGGAACATGGACTTAACACCGTCATTAAGTGACTTAAACAATACAACCCCCCAATGGTCCATGTTTATAAATCGGGACTCGAGCGATCTTTGAACTCTCAAGATATGCTCACGAGTTGCTTGGGGGCGAAGGAGAAGTTCGGTGTCGTCATCAACTTTGGGGTATTCAACAGGGCATGGTTGATCAAGATATGGTACCGGAGAGTCCAGTTTCAATTGAATTTTTTTGTCAGACTCGAAAATTTCCGAGAGTTTTTGGTGAATATCAGGGGGATAATTAGTATCAGAATACTTTTTGAGCTGATTATGAGTACTTGGGGTATCCACTGAATCAGAAGTTTCAGAAGTGTTGACTAATTCAGTATTTGCAGAAGTATTGACTAAATCAGTAGTTGCTGGAGTATTTACTAAATCGGCAGTTTCTGGAGCTTCCCCTGAATCAGCGGTTGCAAAAGTATTCACTAAATCAGTAGTTTCTGGAGCTTCCCCTGAATCAGCAGTTTCTGGAGCTTTCCCTGAATCAGCAGGTTCTGGAGCTTCCACAGAAGTTACAGAAGTCTTGACTAACTCGGCAGTTCCTGGAGCATCCACTGAACCTTTATTTGGCTGAGTAGTCAGTGGCTCACATGGGGAAGTAAGATTTGACTGAGGTGAATTGAACGGAGTATCTGGTTGAGAATTCAGAGTATCGGTTGAGTCTTTTTCCTTTGAGTTTGTTTTATCTTGCTTAGCAATAAATTTTGAAGCTACTGATTCAAAAAGAACTCGGTCAGCGATTGCTTCTGATGCATTTTCTGAAACAATTCGGATATAATCCTGGGTTTCCTTTTCAATGAAATGCTGATCATTAATAGTTTTTATAATTTGGGAGTTAACATCATTGAGCGCAGAATCGGATTCTTTCAAATAAGCTTGAATATATTGCATCAAAAAATTAATTACCGGAGCTTTATCTTTTTCACTAATGGGCAGTAATCTCACATATTGATGGACTGTATCTAAGGTGTTATTCAACACTTCCTTATGTATTGCTTTATTTCTTTCAAATTTATCCTGAGCTTCAGTAATAAGTTCTCGAGGGGCAACTTTACTTTCAAAAACTATTAACATCTCCTCGGTCATAGCTTTGATCAAAGCTAGATAATACTCGAAATAAGCCCGGGAAATAACAGAAAATTGAATCTCAACCACAGATTTAATAAAAGGGTCAAAAATGAGCTTCTCACCATGATATGTTTCCAAAGCTTTCTGAACTTGTTGGTAAATATCATTCATATTAACCTCACTTGCTTGACGAGAAATTTGACGTCCAGTCCGATCCAAGCTATTTTTAAAATCTCAAATATAATTTCTACACGGTGAAGCTTTGCTTCCGAGATGATTTTAAATCGACTTTGCTGGTTAGCCAATATTTCATCTTTGTTTGAATCAACAAGATCAGCCATCAGACCTTTAGCCTTTTCATCCAGGTCTTCTTGGAGAGCTTGTTTTTTGGAGGTATCTTCATCTGGGCGATTTCCAGTTTCCCGATATTGTGAATTTTTGTTCTGGTCATATTCACCATTTGAATAAGAGTTTTGAGCTGGATAAGAGGAAGGTGGTGCAGTGTAATTAGGAGGTACGAACGAACTGGATGGTGGGTAAGTACCTTGTTCATAATAGTACGGATCAGAAGGTTTGTAATAGTAATCGTGGTGGGAACTACTCATTGGAATAATTTCAGGGATATTGGGTGCAAAGTTGTAATATCCGTTGTAACTCATTTTTCAGTAGTGTTGCAAAAGCTAATGCGCAATTTTTTTAAAACCTTGTTTTGTTAATTGACTATGAGATTTGATGAGAGTCAATCCTTATTGGAAACCTCAATTGAGTCAGTTCCGATATGAATGAATACCTCTAGTCAGGTGGTTAAGCTGGTAGTTAGTCTATTATTTAATCTAGTATTTAAACTAGTGAATGTTGCTCCAACAATTTGCAGGAAAATCTGTGCAAAAGAAGCAGAGTAAAAGAAACTGAATAAGTAAAAAACAAAATCACTCCGAATTCCAATTAATACAAGAAATCCCCTGTAGTTGGAAATCCAATTAATATTGAATGAAACTAATAGGATTATACACGAAATTGTACGGCTGCTCGTCGTCTCATTTACAACAGACAATACATTTTACAAATAGAATGTAGCACCAGGTTTTATATCTGAACATCATGGATAAACAAGTAGTTCATCATAACTGTCAGAACTTAGCAAACCTTATTAAAGTGCCAAATAATTCTAAAAGACCGGAAACGAAGTGTTAATTGTGGCCAATCTGTTAAAAAGGTCAAAAAACACTTAGCTGATACGTGAACAGCCAACTCACACAATCACTAATGTGGTGTACTTAAGCTGTCACTAGGGTCTTTAGGTAGTTGTATTTCCCGTAGGAAATACTAGTTATATATCTTTATATTGAGATAGTATAACCACTACTGATGATTAATGAGCAGACAAAGGGAGCACCGGGGGAACTCTAGTATTTATACTAAATTCTGGAAGGCGGGTAACCTGAAAATTTTTCTCGCTTTTCGTTTTGTTAGGTTTTTTTTTTTCCGTTTTTGTACCGTGATGGGAAGACCTGGTATTGTATGCAGGGCTCATCGATTGATCTTGTTATACTTATAGGTATGTAGTTTAAATATAGTTGGTTAGTTGGTTAGTTGGTTAGTTATAGTTGGTTAGTTATAGTTAGTTAGTTATAGTGGTTATGTCGTTGACTACTTCAGATAAGATTGCCAGTCTTATGGAATGGCTTAACGCCAACGCCTTCTGGAACAACGACCAATTGGACGTTGAACAATCCAAAGAGTCCTCTGGGATTGGAGTATTTTTCAATTCACCAGATGAAGATGAAGAGGACGACGATAATTTGTTATTAAGGATTCCAAAGGAAAATATTCTTTCACCTAAGAACTCGCTCATTTGGAATTTGCTCGTTGATTATAGTGAAAATCATATTGTAAACTTCGATGTTGATTTAACTCAAGGTATGCACAGTATTGTTATATGTTTTATTTATGAATTGGCAATTGGTTCTAAATCACCATGGTTTCAATATATACAATCCATGATACCTAACGAAACTGAAGAATCCAAGTTCAATAATGTCCCCATTTGTTTATGGCCCGAAATTTATAAGAAAAGTTTATTCAATACTGAATGTGATTTACTTAATATGTTAGATAATACAGAATTGGTTAATTACTTTATTGAATGCATTAATTTCGCTAAAGTCAATTCTTCCTTTATTGAGATCCCTAAAGTTTTCGATGTTAATGTGGAAATCAATCAAGACAATATCGATCAATTACCTAAAATCATCTTGGATAATCATCACGAAAAATTGATTCAATTTGGTAAATACGTTCAAACGGTTATAAGCCGTGCTTTTGAAGTTGACGAATTCCATGGGCTTTCCTTGGTTCCTGGGGCTGATTTGTTTAATCATATTCCTCCGGTTCTCAATGAAGATTCAAGAATCTCCGGTAGAGAAGATGTCCATTTCGTTTGTGATGGTGGTGATGACGTTTGCGATGTCTGTGGAGAATTAGACTGTGAAGATCACCGAGACGAAGACGAAATGGATATCGAAGAAGATGGCATGTTCGACGACGATGATGATGATAGTTTGAATGATATGCAATTCGATAGCGATGGTCAACTAGTCGAAAATGATGATGATGATGACGATGATGAAAATAATGATGACAATGATGATGACCTTGATGATAATGATGATAATGAAAATTTAAATGATGATGAAATCTTGGGTGGTGATAGTGAAGTTGATGAAACTGAATTGTTTAGTTCATCAGATGCAGATGATTCTTCTCTTGAATCTGACTTGGATGATAATAATTCGGAAGTCGCCGACGATCATTCAGAAATTGACCATTCAGATGCCGACTCTTCTCAAACTGAAGATATTCCTGAATTGAAAGAAATTACAATGGAATACATCAACAAAATTGAACAAGAATTGAAAGATGAAGAAAGTGAAGAACAAGATGACGAAAATGATGACGAAGATGAATCGGAGGCTGAAACTCATCTTGATGAAGAAGAAGTATCGACTGATCAAGAAGAAGAAAATGTATCAAATGTCAATCAACACTTATTAGCAGACCAAGAAAATTTGGCTCTTTTATTATCAGATGGATCTAAATGTTGTGATATTGTCTTATCCAAGAAACCAAATAAATCAAAGGGTAAATATGAATTATTCAATACCTATGGTAATGGTCTTTCCAATCCTTATTTATTACAAAGATATGGCTTTATTACTGAAAATATTAATGATAATTGTGTTTTATCAGTACAGTTATTCCAATATTTGAAGAAATTTAAATCAGATAATTCAGAATTGAAAATTAAACAATTAAATAATAAATTGGATTGGTATGAACATATTGGTTTTGAATTTGTAAATGACTTAACTTGCCAATACGAATCAAGACCAGCTCTTCCTGAAGATGATTTGGAAGAACACCCTCATGAACACTCCCATGGCCACGACGATCACGATAGGAGCCATTGCCAAGATGAAGACTGTCAAGATGAAGACTGTCAAGATGAAGACTGTCAAGATGAATGTGAAGATGGTTGTTGTGGTGGTGATGATGATGATGATGAAACTGATGAACATACCCAAATTCTTGAAGAAAATCTTCCAGAATCGTGGCAATTATCACCTCGTGTTACCGCAGATGGTTCAATAACTCCTCAAACTTACGCATTGATCAAATTACTCATCATGCCGTATAAGTTATTTCACTACAAATTAATCGAATGTGCTAGTGAAGGTAAATTGGCGAAAAGAATATTTCAAAACTTGTTACCGTATGGGTTAGATTCTACTTCAGATAAATATTACAACCAGGTTTACCTGTTGGCTAAAAAATGGTGCAAACAAAGATTAGATAGATATAGAAAAGAAGAAACTAAAATGGACGATGTTAAAGCTGATATCGTGAAGTCTCTTCTTGAAAGAGAGAAATCAATTCTTAAATCAGTAATCGCAAAAAACTGATCATATATAGATTTTTTTTATTTAAACTTATCATCAAATACTCTTGTAAGTACAACAATCAAGGAGTTATGTATTCAAGTAGTCTTATAAAACTATATCTACGCAAGTCTACTGATACTCACATAGCTGATATGCTACTTTTTTTTTTTTTGTTACGCTTTCTCTATCAACTTTTTTATGAAGTTGAAGACCGCGCAGAAAAGGTTGATCTAATTCAATATTACTCATATATAGCCTAACTCACAAGTCAAATAGATAGCTAAGCACTTATTCCTCGTTCTCGGGACGTTCTCCTGCTAAACCTCAAGTAATTAAGTATAGAAGAGTATTGAGTCGTCCTCATTCCGTCTGTGCCAATATATATTCTTTTTTTACATTTCAATCAAGATAAATAGCTATTGAAGAATGTCAGATGATTTAAGTGACAACTTCTCTTATGAAGAAGGTTCTTCCTCGGCGTTTGAATTCGAAGACGAGGATGATTTATTACAAAGTGAAGGGGAAAGTGATTATGATGGCGATACTACAGTTACAAATAGAAATCGGAATACAACCGATAGTTTTGAACCAAAATTTCACCCATGGACATTTGAAGGATTCATACAGCATCAGTTTATTGATAAGGCTGCTGAGCTACACCAACGGCAATTACCCCAATGTACTTTGGGTGATATTTTAATAATGTTACAAACTAAGAACTGGCAGCCAGAAAATGTGATCAATGATTTTTACGATAACCCTACTAAATTACGAAATCAATGTGGTTTACCGCAACCTCCTATAGATAAGAAAGTTGGTTTAATAGAAGTTGATAATTTTGAGTGTGCTATTTGTGCAGAATCATACGAGCATACTCAAATCTATGCTTTAGCATGTAATCACCGATATTGTGGTGAGTGCTATAAAAGCTATGTTAACATGCATATATCGTCGGGTAAACTTATAACATGTATGAACCTCGAATGTCCGTTAACGATTTCTCATGGGGACGTTGCATTATTAGCTAGCCAAGGGAAAGATGAAGAATCAATAATTAAACCTAAAATTGATTTAATCTCGAATCCATTACTAATATCGACCGTTTCAAATTATATTGATACCCATAGGAAACAGTATAAGTGGTGTCCTGCAACCGATTGTAATAATTTGATTGAATTAGATCGAGATGCCATAGCCAATCATGATGAAGATGAAAGTAATAAATATAATGAAAAGGGAGATTTAATTACATCCAAGTTAGATCGAGATATAGATTTAACTCACGTCCTAAATGTTTCCTGTCCAGAAAACCACGAATTTTGTTATAAATGTCATCGAGAAAATCATTTACCATGTCCATGTTGGATTGTTGATTTATGGGTTCAAAAATGTAAAGATGATTCTGAAACTGCTAATTGGATTCAAGCAAATACTCAACCATGTCCAGAGTGTGATTCACTGATTGAAAAAAATGGTGGCTGTAATCATTTAACTTGTCGTAAATGTAAATATGAATTTTGCTGGATTTGTCTTGGTAATTGGAAAGATCATGGTCGAGATTTTTACCAATGCAATAGATTTGATCCAAACGTTGTCAAAGAATTACAAAAGGGTAAAGAGCTGAAAAGATTGAGTTTGAGAAGATATTTACATTTTTATAAACGTTTTACGGTTCATGAGTCCTCAATGAAGGGAGATCAAAGAATTATAGAAAGAGTTGATGAAAAAATGAAATCTTATATGGAACTTCAAACTAAGAATCTGACAAATGAAAGCTCACTATCATGGGTTGACGTACAGTTTCTACATGACGCAATTAGAGCTTTAACCAATGGACGTAAAACCCTTAAATGGACATATTGTTTTGCATTTTATCTTGAAAATACTAATTTCTCAGAAATCTTTGAATCCATGCAAGATTTTTTGAACTCAACCGTTGAAGAATTATCAAAAATTTTTGAAGAAATCAATGCTAAAAAAAACAATACTAATTCAAAAAATTATGAGGTAATTACAAAATATAGAAATGAAATTATGTCTTTGAGTAAATTAATTTCTCAAAGACAAAGAATGTTAATTGATTGTGCACAAACTGGTCTTCAACAAGGTTTATTGAAGTTTGCTTAATACTATGTCAATCTTGCTCATACCTGGATCCAAGTATTTTTGTTTGTCAAAGATCATACGGCAATGTTAGAGTCTTTAATCTCACAAAGATGATTAATTTACCCAATTTATAGAGTGGTGTAATAAGATAACTTTGACTCAGTTAATACCGGAAAGTAAGCCTTCTTTAATTCAATCAATAGTCACCCAATAGTCAACCAATTGTCGCTATGGCAAAACCTATTAATTCAATACCATATGTAATGCTTCATGTAAGATCCAATAGCTTAGCTTATTTCCGGTCACGTGAAGATAAGCGACTATGCAGGTGCCATTTTTATTGGTAATTCATTTCTGTGCACCGTTTTGCTTATCAGTTGTTGAAAAGATTCGCTCAATGGGAAATTGATTAGGCGAATTCAATAAACAGGGAAGTTGATTATTCAAGTTATGGGAAGATATTCTATATAGCTATTCATAATTCCAATTACATGACAAGAACCATAACGTTTTTTTGTCTTTTTTTGTCTTTTTTTTTTCGGTTTTTCGTTGTTCATTAAGTATTCACGATGCTTGACCCATCATTCACCGGTGAAATTACCAATTCTGGGGCTCCAGAGAATAAGCATCACTCTGCTTCAAAAGAACTAAAAACTAATAGTGATGAGGCCTTTCCTGATCTACGAAGAAGTCGATCTAGAAGTAGGGCTAGTAGTCGGGCTAGTAATCATTATCCCGTGGATAATAATCATTTATTGCAGTCGGTGTTTTTGAAAAATAATAGACCCAAAAGGATGGAGTCTACTGGCGATATAAATGAAAGACGCGAGTCAACCAAGAAGCCTTTAACTCGCTCAGTGTCAACGCATAGTTTCTTGAATAACAATCATCCACGTAATAAAAATATACCCATGATTCATGAAACACCCACCAAACCTTCCTTGAAAAGATGGAATAGCTATCTGATTCGTCAAGATGAAAGAAAACCAACGGAGGTTGATACAAAATATTCTTTAAAGGAATCGAATAAGTCAAATGATCAGATTGAACATAAAATTTATAACACCAATGATCAGAAGACTTCGAGCATTTCGCCATTAACTGTTTTGAAAAATGACTATAACATTAAAAGACCAGGCTCCAACCCTCCTGCTAAAGCCAAAATACCCATAAGTGATAATTCCTTTATTGATTTGGATTCCCATAATTCTAATACCTTTGATAATCCTAATGACTTTGATTCGTCAAATAAGCGACCTTCGAATGATACCGTTGATTCTAATACTACTGCATTTGTGAATCCTTCCAATAAACTATATAGTAGAATGAGTCAATTAATTAATATGGCTCATAATAGTATGCATTCATTGGTTCCTATTCAGCCGAAAACCCCAATGTCCACTGCTTCAAAACCTGATACCGATGGTGAAACGTTGAATAATGGAACTTTAGTGACAACTCCTCATTATCAAAGTGAACTGGATGATGATGACGATGAGGAGGACGAAGACAACGGACATCCAGTAGATGCATGGAATACTCAAAATAATGATAGTGTCGACAATTCTTATGTTGATAATTCATTTGTGAAAAGCCCCGTTAATGATTTGACCAACATTAACCCAAAATCTTTGAATGACATTTTGAGAGAAATTAATGATTTTCAAAGTAATTTTGTTAAAAACATATCAAACCCACCTTCTAATAATACTTCACTGGTGGACTTGAAGCAAAGTAGTAGAGTTCAACGGAAAATATTGGATTATAAGGATCTTTATAACGATTATGAATTTACAGAATCTTCCTCTGAAAAAGATTTTGGTACTTCAAATGATTACACCGTCAAAATTCAACACGATACTATGATGTCAGAATACACCCAAATTCGATTACGATTTGCAAGTACTCTATCCTCAATCAATCCAAAGACACAGAAAGAAAAGATGAGATCCCATATGGGTGTTTTGGGTTTCGTAAACCGTGCAGCTTATTTGAACCAGGTGAGGCCATTTACCCCTAAAAAAGATCAGAGCTCTGAGCCACCTTGGTATTTTCGAGCATCTTCTCAGTACCAACCTTTGAATGATGTCAAGAATCCTATAACATTTGAAAATAAAGACGAATTTTTGAAGACCATGTGGGATGAAGAAATGAAATCAGTTCTTTCTGATCCTACTTCTAAGTCACCTACAGACTCCACCGTTCCTTCCAACAATTCAAAGGACTCAAAGACCCTCTCAATAAGCCCTCAAATGACAGAACCTCCCTTAGAGCCCGGAAGACTGTCTCGAAATCTGCAGGGAAGTTACGATGCCAGTAACTATAATTTTTCTAGCATCGCTCGAAATGTCAAGCTAAACCATTGAGCTGTCATATATACCTCTTATTCATATTATACTCTAGTATCACTCCATAATAGATTTAATTCACCATAATTTGTTGATGTAGCAGCCAAAAGCCTGTTTGGGACTAATTGAAGTGTACGGGTGTAAACTCAGTGTAAAAAGAAGAACAAAAATAAATTCGAGATAAACTTGTTTGAACTCTGTTGAACAGTTGTTGATCTACAATCAATTGGCTATATCACAATTCTCCCAAAAGCAATGAGTAAAAGATCTAACTTACCCTACACTACCCAGGACCTATTCCCGAAAGTGACTCCAGGACCAAGCTCGACTAGGCTCTCATCTTTGGGCAATGCTGGAGACAGTAACGGATCGATTGCAGGTGGATCATATATCTCGTCTGCTTCTTCAGCTTATAATGATAATACATTCACTCCTCGTCGAAGCAAATTCAAACTACAGAATTTTGCTAAAATGTTGAAAAGACTTTTCAAACCCACAACTCTAGATTTTGAAACTGCAATTTGGGAAATGCTAAATCTTATAATAAATCCTAAAAAAATGTATCGATCACATTACTATTATAAACAACAGCTGTCATTAGATGGCAAATCTAGTTATTCTCGAGACGACCCATCATTTTTGATTCTATTGACGCTTTTTCTATCTATCAGTGCTGTCGCATGGGGTATTGCTTATAGTCCGCATCTTTGGGATATATTCAAACTTATTATTTATATGGTTATGATTGATTTTTACTTAACTGGGGTAGTTATTGCTACGGTCTCTTGGTTAGTCACTAATAGGCTTTTCAACGGTACAAGTGTCAATATGGCAAAATATAATGTAAACTACATCGAATGGGGGTTCTGCTTTGACATTCATTGTAATTCATTTTTAGTGATTTGGTGCTTATTATACATTTTGCAATTTTTACTATTGCCTCTTTTGAGAATAAAAAAATCTTTTTTTTCATTATTACTTGGTAATTCACTATACTTTGGTGCCATTGGGTATTACTTCGTCATTACATTCTATGGTTTCAATTCCCTTCCATTCATAAATAATAGTAATATCTATAATGTTAAAGGCTCAAGTGGAACTAATCCTGCCAAGTTACTTCAAATGATCATATTGGTCGGGATATTACCAGTAATTGCACTCTGTTGGTTTCTAAGCGTATGCTTTAGATTCAATGTTGCATATACTATGGTGGATACTTATTTTAATTGAAAATCATATGCATCGTCATTTCATCTTCTGTAAATTTACTTTTAACTTTGGAAAACAATAGTAATAAATAATTTATTTTAAATCATCGTCGCAGCCACGATCAATATAATTGTTTAAGCAGTAAATATTAAAATGAACTTATATATAAAAATTATGCAGTCTCTTTATCTAAAAGGAAAATATACACAATAAGGTTAAAGAATTATAAATATAAATCAAGCTCGTTCGATACTCAATTGGTCTAACCTGTCACCAGCTGCCTTTATTCTCATACTGGTTCTTGTACTTAATTCGTAATCACCGACGTCTGAGACTATTTCAGCCTTTTTCATCCATGCTTGACTTTCTTTGATGGCATTCTTAATATCTGCATCTGGTGCAGTAGAATTGAAAAGCCAAACAAACATGGATTTTTCATAAAGAGCAGTTGGGTATAAATAAGGGCTATAAGTCAAACGACTAAATTTAAAACCAGCTGGTGAATCTTGAGTTACATAACGAGAGATAACATGAGAATCGAGAAGTTTTAAACCTTCTTTCCATTTTCCTAACTGTCTTAAAGTAATGGCTTGTAAGAAATATCTCACCATGGCTTCATCTTTTGTTTCTTCAATTGAAGAATAGTCGAATTCATGCGAGTTTAAAGAAGCTTCAGTATTTGGTGCACCCGTAAAACCTAAAACTTTATAACTTATTTCCAAATCACGAGGTTGCATTCTGTTATAACCGTTCCAAAAATAAACAAGTTCGTGAATTGGAGAAGTACCAATGCATTCGACAAATGAAAGTTCGGGGTATTTCTTTGTATTGGTTTCGATATTTTTATATTTTCTTAATAAGAATTTATCAAAAGGCATTTGTTTATTGGATCCACCAATACCACCCTTTTTCTGAGAAGCGTTATGACCATGACCAGGAACGTAAGTAGGAGCTTCTTTGATATAGCGTTCAGCTTTTTGAGCATACATTGTTAGTAAATTGTCACGTTCTGATTCATCATATTCTACCAATCCAAGTTTAATCATTCTCCATTGAGCTAAATAACAAGAACCAGCTAAATATAGGTAAACACCTTGACTCCACGAGCTTAACTTCACCAAGCTAAGGAAATCTTCTGCAGCAGAATCGAATTCTTGATTAAAAGCATACAACATTGCCCTATCAAAGACAAGTAATGATTTTACTTGTAACATTTGGATTTTATTGTTTGGGTCATCAGTAAAACTTTGCATTAAATGGGTAGCGTCTTTTAATTTACCTTGAGAGGCTAAGATTCTACCTTCTTGTAAGATCCATAATGCATTATGAGGAAAGAATTTTCTAGCTTTGGTGAGTAATTGAGTTGTATATAACGCAGGATTTCTCATGATTTTATCAAGATCAGAGTCGGTGATACTGGATAAATCAATAATTGGGATAATTGATTTAACGTTTGAGTCATATTGATCAGGGGTTTGGAATCCAAAATCCACAAATTGGATCGGACCATCATATAAAACAAGAAGACATAATAAAGCCAATTCACCATGAATATTTCTACTAGTGATGGCAGTTCTCCATAACATACGTAAACCAGTGATACGGTCACCTCTAAAACCAACAATTGATAATACTTTACCAATTGTTGGGGGGATTAAAGATAATACCACTTGAAGAATCCCAAAACACAATTGGACTCCTGAATGAATGAATTCATCAATTGTTGATACATGTAAATGATTATCATTTGTATTTGAAATATCAGAAGAATTTGAAGTTACTGTTGAGAGTAATGAATTTGCTGTTGTTGGAGCAAAACTATTTGAGATTGAACCATTATTAAAATAATCATCGAATTGAGTATCAAGAGCATCTGAAAACATATCATCATCATCATCATCATCTGATTCATTATTTTGAGATTCAGGGATTTTAGAATTTTTTGAGTTTAGAGGAGGATTAAGAAATTTTGAATTTTGCAGAATTGTTTGAGGATTTGGAGAAGCGGGTCTTGATTTATTGATACTTGGTTTATCCAATAAAGAATAATTACTTGGTTTTCTTGATAAAGAGGCCGCAGAAGCTGATGCACTATTATTTTTAAATAAGTTAATATTCTGTTGATTTTGTTTTGAAATACCTTCTAAACTAGTACCTTCTACTCTTGCTTTCCTCATTTGATAAACTTTTTCTAAATCTTTCATTAATTTAATTTCTTGTGGTAAAGAAGTGGTTGAACTATTATTAGAAGTATCAAACCCGGGTAAATCAACAGTACTAATATTTTTACCATTTTGATTTTGTTGATTTGCTTGTTTTTTAAATTTTGATAAATTTTTATTAAAAGCCGGTTCCAGTTCTTTGATCTTTTTATAAACTGAATCTAAAGTTTGGTAAGCTTTTCTTAATTTGAAAAGAGCTTTGGCTCCTTCCACCATTCCGTTATTTTCATGTAATAACATAACTAAAGCATTAAGAAGAGTTGATTCAGCATGGGTAACTTGAAATTCAGTACCCGGAGGGTATATATGAGAAGTAGCTAATTGATTTTTAATGTTATATTTTGAATTATTTAAAGAAGCTTGTTCTGCTTCTGATAATGTTGTTTGAGCCTTTGCCATAACTTCAGGTTCAAATCCTAAAGTTGCTTCTATAAATTGCATTACACCTAATGCTAAGGGGAAAATAGCAGCTGGTTGATCTGAATTATTGGATGAGTGTTTTTCTGATTCAATTTTTAATAAGTCAGTACCTTCTTCAGAACGATCATCCAATAAATAATCCATTGCTTGCAAGGCAATTTCAAAATCATGAACTTGTTTTAAGATTTTTTCATATGAACTAGAATCTTTTGAAACCGTAGAGTTTGTATCAGCAACACTGGATTGCAGCAGTTGGGAAGATATCAGTAAAACTGATGCTTTCTTTCTTAAGCCTTTAAACATTATAGCTTGATGGAAAAAGCGGAAATTTGGAAGATCAAAGACCAATTAAAAAGAGAAAGAGTGAATAAAAGCTTTTAAAACTTGCCTTTTACGACCAAATTGAACTGATCACTAGATTAACCCTCCAAGACAAGGATATATATTCTAGAAGATACGTTTCAAAAGCAGAATTTGAACAAGTTAATGTTTCATAAATGTTTGCCTAGTGTCTTTTTGAAAAATTACCCATTGGATCAAAAGACTGCGTAACAGAAAAACAAACATAGAGAAAAAGAAAAACACCTCCAAACCTCTACAATCGTTCAACCACTACAATATACGAGATTAACAATAAAGTCATCATCTGAAGGTATATAGATGAATGGCGATAGTCACATAACAGTCCCATAACAGTCTTCACTAGATAGTGTATTAATCTAGCCAACTGATCTTTTCCAAGGGAGGTAAAATAGATGGAGGATTAGTCCAGATTAGGCTTCACTCACGTTAGCATAAGAGGCAGTACTCCAGTCTTTGAACGATGAGAGAACAGCGTGTCAGACGAACAAGGCACTAAAACAGCTACACGAGTGAAGGTATTCCTCGTATCTTATCAGTATCATCATATAACCATATGAGCATATTACAACTAAACCTATCGCCTCTTACGTATCATCAGTAATGTTCAAGTAGCTCATATATGTTTATATACATATGAATATATGACTATATGAATATATGAATATATAAATAGATCAATGTATTGGTGGATGTTCTAATAATAGGGTCGGTTATTGGATGTACGGATCTTTTATGGCGGATTGCAGGTTACGTTTTGCGGTCGCAAAGGCAGGTATCTTTTTTTGCAGTTTACGCGAAGGCTGGCATTAACTTTTCACAACCAAATAGCCAGCACTAACAAACCCCATTGGGGATTGATTGCATGCAAATAGCCATTCATCACCCCGGAAGTTAGTCTTTCGGTAAAGTCTTAGATCTGCCCACTGGTACAGCTAACGGTTGCTTTTGTGGGATTGTTATCTTTCTTCATCTGTCAATGAAGGATTTCCTTTAGGTTTTTGACCCAGCAGGATTTGCTCTTTGTCTGCGTGTTTTTGCTCTGGGTTCCCCATTAGTGCTTCCATGGCTCATGTGGAGTCCCTGGTCGAGTCTGGTTGGGTGGCCACCTGCCTGATTTGTGTGCATTATTCCCAGAGCTGGATTCACTTACTTTTTCAAGTGGTGGTGGTGTTTGTACTCTGTATTTTTAAAAAATATTTTTTTTTTTCAATGATTTGCTATACTTGATCTAATTACTTCATATTGCTGGGTATCATTTAGTTGAAGGCCGTTACGATCATTGTTCTGCTGGCTTGGACCTTGGTTTTCAACTCAACCTTGTTGCTGCTGGTTGTACCTTACCATAACTGATCTGAGCAAGATCTAATACTGATTTTCTATAAAGGTATCAGGTATTCCTTGCAATGATTCAAGTTTCCTTTCTTCTTTTTTAATCACTTTCGTTCATTCATTAGTTTCTAACTACATTCTTTCTTTATCTTAGTTTCTAACTACATTCCTTCTTTATCTTAGTTTCTAACCATATTCCTTCTTTACTTAGTGCCCAACTACATTCTTTCTTTATCCTAGTCCAAAACTATCCATTCGTTAGTCCTTCTTTAAAATGAAATTCAATAGTTTAATCTTTGCTTCCTCTGTCTTATTATCGATAGCTCAAGCTGCTCCAGCTCTTATAACAAGATATCATACTGCTCCAACTTCAACTCAATGGAAAACTTATACTACCAATACTGTCACCAAAGTTGAAACTACCGTCATTGTAGTTAATGGTTCTCCAACAACTCTGACTACTACTAAAACTTCAACTCTTCCTGATGGTCAAGCAAATGCTGAAACCTCAACTAATGCTCAACCTGATGCCCAACCAACTGAAACTTCAATTACTTCAACTGATGAACAAACCGATGCTCAACCAACTGATGCTCCAACCGATGCTCCAACTGATGCTCAAACTGATTCTCAACCAACTCAAGCTGAAACTTCATCTGCCCAACCAACTGACGCTCAAACTGATTCACAACCAACTGAAGCCCAAACTGAAGCCCAACCAACTCAAGCTGAAACTTCATCTGCTCAACCAACTCAAGCTGAAACCACCTCTCAAACTCAACAAACTTCTGCTACTCCAACCACTTTAACTTCTTCAACTGCACCTGCTACTTCAACCACTTCATCTGCACCTTCATCATCTTCTTCTTCTTCCTCGAATCTTAACGATTTTGAACAAGAAATCTTGGATGAACATAACACTAAAAGAGCTCTTTCTGGTGCTCAAGCATTAGTCTGGAATAACACTCTTGCTCAATACGCCGCTGATTATGCTAAATCTTCGTTCTCTTGTGATAACGTTCAATTAATTCATTCTGACGGTCCATACGGTGAAAACTTAGCTGCTGGTTACTCTGGTGGTAAAGATCCAGTTGATGCTTGGTATGATGAAATTAAATACTATGACTTCTCTAATCCAGGTTTTTCTGAAAAAACTGGTCATTATACTCAACTTGTTTGGCAATCAAGTAGTCAAATGGGATGTGCTAAAGTTGATTGTAATAACTCTTGGAAACAATATACCATCTGTGAATATTCTGACACTAGAGGTAACATTGTTGGAACAGATCCAAAAACCCATAAAAATTTCTTTGCTGAAAATGTCATTAAACCAAGTTCAAGTTAATAAAGCTTGACTTAAATTTATTATTATTTATAATGACTTTCAACATGCTTTTTCATTTTTCTTTACGGTATTTCAAAGGTTTATTCGGTTCTCATATTTCTATATTATAAATTGTTTGTATATTAATAAATTAAATTATTTGGTTAACTTCTTNACTTCAATGAAAAAAAAAAAAAAAAAAAAAAAAAATAGTAAGTCTTACACAGCACATATATATAGAAAATTTTATATTAATTACTTCAATATACAAAATTATATAAAATTTCCGTGTTCAATAAAGGACAAAAATATATTAAATGATTAAAAAATAATTTAATAAATTTAATCTCTTAAGACAGCGGAGAATTGACCTTTAGATGGTTTAGCTTTAGATTTTTCAACTTTAGCAGAACCTAATTTTTCAGCAGAGAAGGCCTTGGCGTATGGGTTTAATCTTAATAAGACTTGTTTGTTCTTCAATGGGTTCTTCTTTAAGACGTGAGTCTTCTTTTGAGATGGTTGACCAGCTGGTCTAACGACGGCTTGGACTTCAGCAGAGTTGATTAATCTGGTAACATCAGTGTTAGAAATGATGTTAGATGGTAAAGTGTAACCAGATTTAATAGATTTAGTAGAATCAGAACCGTAAACGGAATCTAAAGATTCGAAAGCACCTTGGGTCCAGATAACAAATCTACCTAAGTGAGCACCTGGAGCTAATTGTAATAAACCTAAGTGTTTAACATCAGAAGTTTCAACACCTGGAATGTTTCTTAAAGCTTTAGTAAGACCATTGTCATGAGCGTAAACAACTAATGGACCTCTTCTTTGAGTGAATCTTCTACCTCTCAATTTACCTTTACCGGCTCTCAATTTTTTAGATTTAATAACTTTAATTAAATCTTTGTGAGCACCAATAGATTTTAAGACAGCAACGGCATCTTTAGTTTTGGTAACAGATTCGAAATCGTTAGAAACAACTAAAGGTAATTCTTTAACTTGTTCAACTCTGTGACCTCTAGCTAAAACTAAAGAAGTAACAGCAGAAGCAGCAATGGCGGAAGCAGTAGCATAACGTTTTTCGTTATGGTTAACTTTGATGTGCCATTTTCTCCAAGTTTTAGTTGGAGCAAACATACGACCACCTCTACACATGTTACCAAAGGCAGCTTGACCAGAACGGTGAGTACCACCACCACCAACTCTTGGAATTCTGGCAACAGCTCTACCGGTACCCCATGATTCAGCGGAGGTTTGGTGACCGGCTTTTTCAGAAACAGCGTAAGCTTGTCTCTTGTTTTTGTTAACTCTAACGAAAACAGAGTGGACTAAATCTGGTCTGACTGGAGCAGAGAAGACAGCTGGTAATGGTAATTGAGTGGAGGTTTGTTCACCTTTAGCGGAGATGACAGAAACTTGAGGACGAGTAGACATCTTTGATAAGTGTATAATGTGATGAAGAAAGAAGAGAAGAGGAAGTGAAATTATTCATTTTTATTTTTCATTTAATAAAGTGAAAAATTTTCCAGTGAGAAGAGAGCGTTATTGTGGTCGTGTGAGGGCCCGACAGAAACAAGAATGAGAAACCCAAAAAAGTTACCCGCACGGGGTCGAAGAATTACATCCGTACATCTGAAAATGTGCACGTGACAGCTTTAGCACCCAAACCATCTTTAGTATTACAGTAATGCAATAGTAATAGAAGTAATACAACAATAAAAGAAGTAATACAATAGTAAAAGAAGTAATACAGTAATAAGGTAGTTACAGCACTAGTGGTACAAATTGAGAACTGAATCATACGGTGAGTTTACGAAGTTTCATTGCTTAAACTTATTGTAAGAATTAGACATACGAACGTTTTACAAAAAATGGTTCGATTCCCCTGATGATAGACAAGGCTTGAAAAGGTAATTCGGTACGCAACATAGAACGATACCCCACAAAGAACAATTTAAATAATGATATTTGAAAGATAAAATTAATTAACTTGAGTCTAGTAATAGTTAGGCGAGAATAAAAAAGAATTGGAACTGAGAAGCGAGCGTTGGCCTTTTGACATAAAAAATAAAACCAGAACCTAAATCCATCTACTAAATAGTGATGAACTAGTCATTTGCATAAGTACGATATTGACCGGACGGAATATAATTAAGACACAATTGACCAGATCAACGCATCAAGACTTATTGATAAGAATAACGGGCCAATTAAAAATCCACGGAAGAATGGTTTGTAGGGTGCGCGCATCGCCTAGTATCACCTTATGGGACATCTCATCTCATCTTTATGCCATTATATACCAGAATTGGAACTGGACTTGATACTAAACTGGATCCATACTGGATCCATACTGGATCATAGACAGAATCGTAGACAGGATACACCGCAATCATACCAAGAATAATAACAAGAAGTGGTGTAAGAGTGGGAAAAGTTCAAATTAACAAGTGACAAACAAATTGAAATAAAGGTAATGAAAGGCGATGGTCAATCACGGCATTTTGTCCATTCACTTACACAATCCTCAATTTGTTCAATTCACAAAGTTTATTGAATCAGTCACTGACAACTACTTGATCACCGCTTTATCTACATAGAGATAAGATTGATAGACTATCTACAGAGTTTAGCAGCCAGATGGAAAAACTCTTCCTTCCTTCTTTTTTCTCTATTGCAAAAGTTTTTTGCAAAAACTTTTTGCGATGAAATACACGGCAGCTGCTGCTAGAGGGGTACCCTTTTGGCAAACACCGTACCTTGACATGACCTGCCCACCCATTACCGGTTCCATTGAGGGGTACTCCGCTACTCCGTACGTCTTGGTGTATCTGTAACCACTCTAAAGAAAGGTTGATATTTTGCCTGTTTATTTTTTTTTTCTTCTGTTTGTATGGGGCTTTACTGCGCAAAATTTCTATAGATAAGATATAACCTTTCAACTATCTGATTGTATTATCTAAGTCATTTATTGTCGGCATTGATCACTGTTCGTATATTTATGTATATATATCTGGAGTTATATCCTATTCCTTTTTTTCATTTTGCTTTTCCTAAAACATTTTCTATTCTGATTATATACATTTTTAATCATGAAAGATAATAAAGACTTCTACTCATTTAACGTTTCTGAAGGTGCTGATGATTCAATCTCAGTTGCAAATTCAAGAATAGTTAGCTTCGATGAAAAGACTGGTGAAAAAATTGAAAATGAATCCGAAGAAAAATTACATAGAGGTATGAAAAGTCGTCATTTGGCACTTATATCTCTTAGTGGTGCCATTGGTACTGGGTTATTTGTTGGTAGTGGTGCATCTTTAGCAGCAACGGGTCCAGGTCCTCTTCTACTTGGTTACATTTTTTTATCAGGTATTGTTTATTTTGTTATGAATATTTTAGCAGAAATGTCTTGTTTCTTATCAACTAGTAAAAGTGGTTCTGGTGCTGGTGCTTTTATAAATGATTATTTACACCCCGATCTTGGTTTTGCCTTTGGTTATAATTATGTTTATGCTTTTGCTATTTTATCTGCTTCTGAAGTTAGTATCTTACCGGCACTTTTCGATTATTTTTCTGATGTCCATCCAGCAGTTTGGATTACTATATTTTTGGTTTTATTAATTGCTTTGAATATGGCTCCAGTTAAATTTTATGGTGAATCTGAATTTTGGTTTGGTTCAATAAAATTAATCACCTTGACTGGTTTAATCATCTTAGGTATTGTCTTGTTTTTCGGGGGTGGTCCAACTCATGATCGTTTGGGTTTTAGATATTGGAAAAATGGTAATGCTTTCCATCAACATTTAGTTAAAGGTGACACCGGCCGTTTCTTATCAGTTTGGACTTCTATCATTAAAGCTGGTTATTCTTTTATCTGTTCTCCAGAATTAATTGTCGCTGGTGCTTCCGAAGTTGAAAGACCAAGAAGAAATATTAAAAAGGCTGCTAACAGTTTTATTTATCGTTTGGCATTTTTCTATATCTTTGGTTCTTTAATCATTGGTATTATTGCTGACTCAAGAAGTCCAGAATTACTTAATACTTCAGGAAATGCTTCCGCTTCTCCTTTTGTCTTGGGTATTCAAAACGCTGGTATCCCAGTCTTGAATCAAATCATTAATGCCGTCGTCTTAACTTCTGCTGCTTCTGCTGGTAGTTCCTTCTTATATGCTGCTTCAAGATCTCTCTTCTCCTTATCTAAACGTGGTTTGGCCCCAAAGATTTTTGCTAAAACTAATCGTTATCAAGTTCCTTATGTTGCTGTTCTTGCTAACTCTTGTGTTACTTGTTTAGCTTATTTAAACGTTTCTTCTACTTCTGCTCAAGTTTTCACTTGGCTTTCAAATATCAGTACCATTTCTGGTTTTATTGCTTGGGTTGGGGTTGCTTTTGCTTATATTAGATGGCGTAAAGCTATTGTGGTTCATAATTTATCTGATCGTGTTCCTTTACGTACTCCTCTTCAACCTTATGGTGCTTATATCGTTATTGTATTTATTTCTTTACTTACCCTTACTAATGGTTACGCTGTTTTCTTTGATTTTAACGTTGCTGATTTCTTTGCTGCTTATGTCACTTTTATCTTTGTTTTTGTTCTTTACTTAGGCCGTCGTTTATATTCTTATTTCATTAAAGGTGAAAAAAGATGGTTAACTCCTTTAGAAGAAGTTTCTTTTGAAGGTTTGGATGAATTCGAAGCTGAAGATGCTTCTTATCCTGAAGTTGTTCCTCGTAATTTAGCTGAAAAAGCATGGCTTATAATTGTTTAGGTGGTTGATTCCTCTTTTATATACTTTTCAATTCTTGTTTGTTCTTTTTTTATATATATTTTATATAATATTAAACTATTCTTTATCAATAATTTTAATGTGGTCATTTCAATTTTTTGTAGGTTTTTGCAATTTTTATGGTAAAATCCCAAAATTCTCAATCCCAAACAAATAAATATCTACGAAATCATTCATTTTCTTGTATTCATAATTTCATTGAAGCTCTGTCAACCCATTGGACATCTCAAAGTAGTTCCTGTGTATTTCTTTCTATTTTTTTTTTCATATATCTTTCTATATGTTATGTGGTTTAATTCATCGCGGTGATATATTTATATTACTCTTGCAAAAACAAGCACAAATTTCATTCTACAAACGTAATTATCACCCTCACAGGAATTATTTTGATATTGAAGCCTATGAATAGGATTTAATGAATGGAAGACTTGGATTTCAAATTTTTTTTTTACATTGTAAATTTTAACTAAAAGTAAAATTTGCTAACTTAGAAGACCATGTAAAATCTGCATTTATAAATTGGGCGTGTGGCGTAGTTGGTAGCGCGTTCGCTTAGCATGCGAAAGGTCTTGGGTTCGACTCCCAACTCGTCCATTTTTTGAAAATCGTCTTCAATATACTTTTTTTTACCAATTGAAAGGGGAAATCCGTTTGAGAGATTATAAGACAATGAAGTCTGTCAATGCGGTCCGCTCTGATTTATGTCAAAACAGATCAAATACATGATCAAGCTGAAGTCTAAGAAAGAGATGTTACAAACATCTTTTGTTATATCATAGCAACTAGTATCATAATACATGTACGTATAAATAAGTAGGCAATTCCATGTTAATGAAAAAAATCTCTTATGCCTCTTCGTGGAGCGTGGACCTCTGTTAATGTTCTCATTGGTTATTGGATAGAAGTATGGGCGATGTCCATGAATATACATTCTATCTTTTAAAATGTATTTTATGTTCTGCTTTTGTTATATTATTATTAGTTATAATATGTTATTTCCTCCCTTTGAATAACAGCAAAAAGATTAATCTATATAATAAATTAATCCACTCCATAATCAGTTATTAGTATGTATCTAGCTAATATCTTATTGAGTATGTTATTGTCGTCCGTACTGGGATATATGTCTATGTATTTATTATAGATTTATGTCGATAGAGGTCTGATCTACCCACATAACCTGATAGAGATACTTTATGGTATGGTTTCATGTAATTGAAAATTTATGAGGTGTTACGCTCGATATAGATTATGGCTCAAAACCTAGCGCCATTGGCTGCGAAAATGACCAAAGTTGGTAAATTTGATCCAAAAACTTGCTTCGACTACTTTTTAAACACGACAGAGTGTGCCAATTAATAAAAGGCTGTTATTGATTTATACATGATTATAGCCTGAGCTCCTAAAAGCTCCGATTTTCACGTTTCGATCGGTTTCTTAGAACTAGGAACTTCTCAATAAACCGTCTCAAACCGTGCCCTTGTTCACACTTATTGAACTTACTGCTCCCCATCCCCCTGAATTTGGGAAACTTTAGTTCAGAAATTTCTCTACTGATCTATTGGAGATTGAGCATGCAGCAGTGCCTTCTTTGATGTTTAATTTAGCTCAGGTGGACCCAATCAGACCTGATATATGTCAGGCCTTGAAGGCCTGCAGATGATGTACTGGCCTATCTATATTGATAGGCACAATACATCATCAAATGAAGAAACAAATTATATTTAAAATTTTTGTTAATCCATAAATGAGGCATTATGATAATGTGCATATATAAATAAATAGGCATTTCCATATTAAATGGAAAAATCTTCTACTCGACGTGGGCCGTGGACCAAAGTGATGCTTCTAATTGGTTGAAGCATGGTCGTCGACCTATAGAGAGTTCTTTATATTCGGTAATAAATATTTCTATATAATATTTACAAATTGGCTTTGGATACTTAAGCTTAATC